GTGTCGATATTCCCCGAACGATCAAGATTCCCGAGCACACAAGCACGAGCTTTGAATGTTCCATCACGTTTTACCGTGAGAACGATTGCTATAGGCATTACCTGAGAAGAGGATCGCAGCTCCTCGTCAGTAGCTGGCGCCCAAGTCTCAAAGGCAAGTAGTCTAGCTTCCTCCTTGGTGATAGCTGCGCGCCATTTCTCGGCGTCAGGGCTTTTCAAGGCTTGGGAAACTGACAGCATGGCATGTGCTTCGAGAAAGGTCTCCCCTTCTTCCAGCTCATGCCCACCTGCTAGCTTGGCAAGTTTAGTCATGTCTTTTCTTAATGCTTCTAGCTCGGCTTTTGTTCTTCTTTTGCGTTGTCCTGGATTCTTATCCTTGCTCCCTTTGGGTCTTCCTCGGCCTTTCTTCCCCTCCTCAACTTTGCCTGGTTGAGATGGTGGAATGGGTAAGGGCCTCGGATCCCTTGCTTCAGGATTAGAGTCAGGCGACACACGCTCCGATGAGCTATTCCCCTCCTCAACGCGTTGCGCGTCAGAGGTGGAATCGTCGCCGGTCTTTCTCTTTGGATCTTCCTCTTTGTCCAAAGATTCACAGAAAAACTCACCAATGTCGTTGCTATCTAATACCATTCCCATGCCGGTTGGATCGCCTGAGGTGTACTCCGTGCCAGAGAAGCGCGGCTGACAGGCCATACGTTGCAGCGCATGTCTGTGCAGGACGGGACCCAGCGACGGCGTGCCAGACTGCAGGTTTTCCAGCGGGTCACAATCAACATAAATGCCCTTCGACGTAGGCAATAGCCAATCAATGTTCTTGACTAATATCGACTCTCGAAATTTCACACCTAGTGTGGAATACTCGCTCCACTTGACGCCAGCTCTCGCTCTCCCATCGTTGTGATATGTACCTACTAGCCAACCAGACGAAACTGGACACAGACCGAGAAACACACCACGCCGATAAGGTGACGCAAGCTTTGCTTCTTTCTTGTTGGTGGTGTCTACGACCTGTTCACGAAAGTACACCAAGCAACCAAATCTTCTTAACATACCTAGACCACTTTTCGCTGACTTCTTTCCTATCCTCTTTTCTAGTATCTCGACAGGACTCATTCCATCACGTTCTGGCATTTTTGCATAACGATGCGGTAAGCGATTCCAACAATCTCCGGCATACTGTAGGCAGTAACACCAAAGACGTCGGTCGACTTTGACCAACATGGTACGCACAGCACCGAAAATGGTCCGCGTGAAACGTTCGCAAGTTCCGTTCATTTCTGGGCTGTAGGGAACTCCAGGAATTTCCGAAACCAGTAGAGATTGCATGACTTTGGTCATATGGTCACCACTTAGGACAGGCTCGCTATCTCTACAGATGAACCACGCCGCCTTGTCGTCGAATGGCCATGAGTAGTCCTGGCGAATGCCTTTTATTACTTCTTCAATCACCTCTACGCAGTCCGACTTGAGGCAAAGAGGACGAACGAGACACATTTTAATCGAATCGCAAATAATGACTAAGGCGCATCTTTTGCCTCTTATAGATACTGGCCTAATGCCAACTGCGAAATCAATTGCAAGTGTTTTCAATGGGGAAGGTATATGCCCAGCGGGCCTCGCTTTTGCATGAGAGCGTCTCTGACCTTTGGTCCAGTCACATTCTGGACACGATACACTAAGGCCATCAGCGTGAAAGTGGCCAAGTCTACGATGTGTGTCTAATCCTGAGGCTTGTGAATGAAGTCTAGCCTCTTCTATACTAGTGCGCGCTATATCCTCCTCAGTTTCATTTTCTTCTTTGCTAAACATGTCACAACCTAGAGTAGGTAACTGCATCTGGGGGCAAGCAATTTGCTATGGGTAGAGAGCGGCCGGAGCGGGTATTGTACAACGTTCCGCCACTTTCTGTGAAATTCATTTGCCAACCCTTCTCATGGCAGCTTCCTTCACCTAGCCACGGCGTAATGCGATCTATGGCTTTTGGTAAGTGTTCAAAGTGTGCGCCATATTTTAATCCTAATTTGTTTTCTTTTAGTCTACCTAAGTTCCCACTTCGCTCTCCAGCAGTGCCACTAATATGACAAAGCCAGTAGCTAATCTTCTTGAAATCGGAACGATGGCTAGACAAATACTTATTTGCACAACTGTCAACAAGTGGAACTGTTTTGCTATTTTCCCTGTTATTTGCACTTAGATAGCAACCTGAGCGATTGTCAATCGTATAGCTTTCACCCCTAAGCAGTTCACTTCTATACTCTTCACTCTCAGCGTTTTCTTCAAAGTTCAGCGAACATCTTCCATCTTCATTTTCGAAATCTTCTTCCAATTCCTCTCCATCTTGGGACTGTCCATCTCGTTTCCCATATCCATTCCATTCCGAATTGGTTTCGACTCAGCGTTGTGGTTGTTGTCCACCCCATTGCTGTTGTGGGTTACTGTTGTCGAATCCTTTTCCTCCACTTTGTTGCGGTGGATAGCTGTTCTGGTGCCACGGAGGGATAGCGTTACCTTGCGGCCAGCAGTTGCGTGAATTGCTGAAGAAGTTGCTGCCCATGGCTTTGTTAGGTTGGTAGCTTTGACTCATCGGGTTTAGCCAGCATTTGCGCGCCTTATGTCCATACTTGTGGCAATAGTTGCACTGGATACCCTCACTAGGATTAGAGTTCTTAGCACCTTTACCTTTGCCATTTCCTTTGTTTTTCTTACTACTAGAACTGCTACTACTACTCTTTCCACTTCCTTTTGTTGCGTAGACCTCGTTCTTGATTTCTTTGCGAATCTTCTTGCGAAGTCGTTTGATCGTTGTTTTCTTGAGAGCGGCAAACGCATTACCATCGTCATCGCTCTCATCTTGACGCTTACGCTTCTTGGTTTTGGTATTGTTCTGGTTTTCATCATCCGAATCTTCGACAGCTGGAAAAGCTTCGCCGAAAGATGGACTCTCGATCTTGTACTCACCAGAGTCAGCCAAGCTTTGAAGTCGTTTCGTGAGTCTTTCACCGATTTGGACGAACGTTAGACGTTCTTCTTCTTGCATCCTCTCGATTGTCTGTCGAAATGCTTTGGAAAACATTTTTGGCAGAATGTCGAGGATTGCTCCGCTTTGTTGATCAGCAACAGCCACACCAACTTCCGGCGGGTATACGGTCGGAGATTGGTTCGTGACATCTCTGACCTTCGCCAGGAATGTTGGAACGTCTGGAGGAGAGTCCCGGCTCGTGAAGTGCATCCCTTCCAACGCTTTAGCAGAGACTCGCTGCTCTGTGCGGTCATTTTGACTGAAACCAGCGTCACGGAGGTTCGTTACCACTTCGCCAGCGTTCATTGCAGTGGTATCCTGGTCCTTCGTATGTGCTTCGGCTGCACCTTTGAGCGACTTGATGGTCACACTCTTCAAATCTCGCCAATTCTGTTGGCGCTTGCGGTCGTTGTTGTTGGGTTGGTTCGGAACCCCTGCCGCATTGCCGTTCAGCACGTTGCTGAGGTATTGGACTAGGTCCAGGCGGTCTGCTTCTTGCGTTACCGCTCGAAGCCAGTCACGCCAGTCAGATTTCTGCCCCAGTTTGGGCGAAATCTCTCCGAGACTCATATCGGGCATTTTGTGGCGCAAGTAGTGCGACTTTGTTTTCTCTACTTCTACAAAGAATTGACTAGCTATTTCTTTAATAAGGTAAGGCTCAAGGGCTTGGAACAGTGTTGGAACACCCGAACACGTCCAGGCGCACTATGAGGCTCTTGAGAGCAAGTGGAATGATTATCGTTGCAATGTAACAGAAAGACGATCAGAACGGACGCGCCGAATGGTCGCTGACTGTTTAAGGCCCTGAAATGGTATCGAAATGGGCTCAATGTCATTGGGACATCATGAAGGGTCATAGTGCAGTTAAAGATCTGGGAGATCTTGCTGCTGATTCATGTTGGAATTCGTTGAGTTCAAATGATGACCATGCGAGGGACTGACATGAGAACAAGACAAGGAACGGCATGGATCATGATCAAGGTGACGAGTGAGGGCAGTCATTTGGCATTGCGATCAGGTTCATCCATTGGATCTTGAGCCAGTAATGACCATTGACCAACACCTAGTTAGGTCGGGTGCACCAATAATATCAAAGAAGTAGCTATAAATAAATATATATATAAGTTTGCCATTGCCGTTGAAAAAAATTGTAATAAATTGGTGCTAAAACACATTTTATGCTGGCCATACCCACCACGCGGTGATGAAAGCAGCCGAGAGCCAGACCAAGGAAAAGGCGAACACGTACTCGACGAGACGGAAATGAAGAGAGCAGCCGAGAGCAGAACCAAAGTTGTACGAAATTTCTGAGTAACCTAGATTGAAAAGCTCACGAACTCTTCTTCTTCTCTGAAATGCTGACTTAAACGGGAGACCAGACCTACAAAGAATAGACGAGTGAGTGAGTCAGGATACCCTCTCTGTAGATTTCAGCTTCTTCTTCAAGGGGATCAAGTTGATGTACTTGCACATCTATTTTTTGGAATTTCAGAACAGATGCCAGCTGCTTCTTCAAGGAGATCTATACAGTCACTTTTGGGGTTCTTCAAGGGGATCTTCTGTGCTATCAATCTTCAAGGTGAATAGAATCTTCAAGGTGGACTGTTTAGAATCTTGAAGGTGAATAGAATCTTCAAGGTTCGTTGACTGTTTAGAATCTTCAAGGTGAATAGAATCTTCAAGGTTGACTGTTTATAATCTTCAAGGTGAATAGAATCTTCAAGGTGCATAGAATCAACCGCCTCTTCAAGGTGAATAGAATCTTCAAGGTTCGTTGCCTGTTACGGTTTTGAATCTTCCAGGTGAATAGAATCTTCGAGGGGATACGGCAGCAGTAGTACTAGGTAGTACACCTTTCGCTTGAGCGAGGATTTAAGAACAAGCAAAAGCTTCTTGCTGCTTTCAAGATGCCCCTCCTGGAGGTGTCTCTACAACGAACTGGCGCTGTTCTTGTTTGATCAACTAAATTTGATCTTGATGTGCTTGAGTCTGACTGTAATTTTTTTGTCAAGGCTAAGCCTCCAACCCAATATCATAAATCTCGCAGACATAAATCACGTCTGCAGATGAACACAAACTTTTTATCTTGGGCTTGTTGTCATCTTACTACACAGGCAGCGGGAGCTTCCATAACCATCTAGATCTACTCCTGCAATCCACCAATATATTGGTTGAAAATGCACATGAAATGGCTTTTGTTCCTTTATAGTCATGTGGGATGTAGTCTTTAGGTTAGCCTACGGAAGTTGCTGCTCATGCTCAGAATTGTGCTCAGAATGAATCAATTTTGGCTTGCTATATCTTCTAGAAAAAGTTCAAGCTTTCCGTTCAACAGTCTCCATCCTGCGTCACTGGAACTCGGTCGTTGTATTCCGGTAGAAGCGAAATGCTCCACGAAATTTTAGAATATGTATAAATATGAGTCATTCATCTCACCATGCCATAATTCTTCGAAAAATGATCAGACAGTATCTGTACACTTCTCTATCGAAGATAGTATAAATTATTCTACTCCTTAGACGTGAGGTTTGAAAGTAGCGGCCTCAAAATAGTCAGGAAACTTGTTACGCTACGTCTTGGAGCCAAAGGAGGCGCCCTATGGCCTACCTTGTGATAAAGATAAGGCTCTCTTCTACCGAGTATAACGGCGTTGATTGATATGATTGATGTTCCTAACCGAAGATATCGGATGTAAATGTATCATCGAGTGATCCGCTTTCCATCCAACAGAAGATCCTAATCTTCTTCTATGAATATCTTCAATAGCCAAAGCCACATCATAATCCTCATCCTCATGAACGTCGCGAAAATAAGCGGCTCCTAGCAAGATCCCACAAACACCCGCTGAAGCTGCTGCGCAATGGAGAGCCCATCGTCCAAGATGAATTAGATATGATCCAAGTTGAGATGTCCTAGTTGTAGTTGTGCCGTACATGCACTCGGACCATACATGTAGACTTCAACTCGGCAAGTACGACGTCCACTGTATCTATCTATTCATGCGGTACAATCGACAATCTAGTATACATAGTAAGTTTATGCACCTGTTGAAAAACAAACTCGTGGTTGCATTTTATTAGAAGTAGAGTCTTCAACGTGTATGACGGACTTACTCATCGATAAATTGAAATAACCGAGTAGCCTAGATAATAATCTGCTCCGATGCCTTGTTAGTGCGTAGTTTTTTTTTGTTGCTCCTATATTTCATAAGATTTCGAGTATGCGACTTCCATATGAAGAGTATATGCCATAATACAAGACTGCCTAAAGATGATGTTCGCCCCGCTGTCGTGGCGGCAGAGAGCAACAAAGAGCCCAGTGGTAAGCTTTTCTTCTCGGGAGGTGCCGCTGTAGTTACACCGGGAAGGGACCCGGATTCCCAGCTTCTGCTTGTTGCGGTCTTGAATCTCTCGAGAAATCATGAACTAAAGTAGTTGCCAGCCCTCTACCAGAGCTAGAGAATAGATGTTTCAAGCAACGTCTACATCTACTCTCTGTGATGAATGAAAAAATAGTAAACGTACACGGATCGAGTAATACTGCCATAACCTTGAAGATGCGACCCGCACCCGCAGCGTGCCAAGCAAACTCCGAACAAGTAAATTGCTTACAACCATGGTCGGTTTACCTTAAATTGTATTAATCAAGTAGTTCTAATAAATTGTAATCGGTTCAAAGCGATGTTTCTTTCCTCATCATTGTCAACATCACAGAAGAGTGTAATTGTCAGATGAGAAATAATGCTTCTCATCCACTACTAATACAACTAGTGGCGATGCTTCTTTATCTTCGTTTTTAGCAACAGTGTCCAACAAGCCTTAATATCTTCGACTATGGTGAGAATTCATACTGTTCATTCATTCTACTAGTACTACAACTATAAAACTCCTTCATCAATATTACTTGATAAGTCATCAAGTCAAATTCATTGCAGCTTCTCGGCACTCGCGTCTCAGTATCTTCAGTGTACATCACAGCCGATCATGACAGGTTCAATGTTCCTCAGTACATCGATCTGTAGTAAGTTGTATCTCCGTAGCTGTTGCGAGATGCAATACAATGCAATTAATCTCGCACAAAGTTCAGTGCGGACTGCCTTAAGGGCATCAAACCTTAAGGGCATGAAGGGCGTCAAACCTTAAACAGTCTTCATCAAAAGAAAAGGGCCACTTGCCGAGTACCGACGGTGAGTTCAATTATCCAACACGACAAAATAAAAGTGACCAGTGTCATCTCGCTGGCACATTCCCTGGGCTAGGCGCAGCCTCCAGATGAAGAAGAAGAAGAACATTCGATGTTCTTAGGGTCAGCACTAACCAGTGCTGTCTGAGTCTGACAAACTACGAGGAGCAATATCCAATGCGCTGAGTAGAACTTTTAGGGCCTCTTTGCTGTAGTCAACTACAGCACCAGGAGCACAATCTTCTACACACAAGGAACATTTTCTTACGTATCAGTGCACCCACTCCAGAGTAATTAGAAATGGAAGCCACCTGGGCACCACTTACCCGTCCTCCACATCTTTCTAGTCGAACTCGTAGCTTCGGTTCCCCTTCCTCTTCTAGATGTAGTTGTAAGCCTCCCTTGCTTAGAGGTTCTCCTTCTACCTTGATGTCGAGCCTGTACTTCAACCCTTCTGCTTAAGTACATGCGTGGACCGTACTTCCTCTTCTAGAGGTGGAACCTACGCGTATCACCTTTGCGCTGCTTATGCAAGGTTCTACTTCCGACTTCCCTAGATGTAGAAGCCGTTCCCGTTCAGCTTATGAAAGAGGTTGATGGCTTGAATATCTTTCCGCCCGATTGAAAATTTCAAGAGTTTTAGCACGAACGTCAACGTACAGCGGAACTCCTTCCGATACTGAGTGGTTTTCACGCTCTGTCGGACCCACCAGGCGGCGGGAAAATTAGAACGAATACAAAGGAGAAGGACTATAACGAAACTAAAAAATAATTCTTAAGAAACGCTGAAACTGAACGGATGCATCAAAAACGAAATACTATCATCTAACTAAGGTCCCATGATTATGGTTATGGTACAACTGGTACTGCTATTTACAAAAGAACATAAACTTGTAGCTTGCTGCTTATTTTTACACGTTGTAGTCATAGAATACGTGGCACAAGTCAAAACGTCTTCTACCACGCAAAACGTAATAAGCTCAATCTTGTTCTTATAACCAAAAAAAAACTACTCACCCTCAGCTACTTAAAAATTTCTCTTGTTGTTAAACTAGGTAGCTTCAATAGCTAGTTAATTAAGTAGTTGACGGAGGATCTCTGCAGCCGGAGGCAAGAGGACCAGGACTCGGAGAGGCAGGCGAAGGTCGTTGGACATTAATACAGGCCAAGCCCACAAGAATCTGACATGGCTGAAGGTAGATCTAGAAAGAAATATGTGGCGCATTGGTCTCGTGGATCCACCTCGCAACGCGATAACACCGATCCGACTCCAGCCGGTCCTGAAAATGGTCCTCGATCCAAGTCCGCAAATTACAACCGCAAATCAAGCACGCAGAAACCTGAATAGCAAGTATGTGGGTCAAGCGATCAAGAGAATTATGACGATGCAGCTCCATAAGTAAGCCCCAGCTGACTAAGTAACTTCAAAGACTATCCGCATCCAACTCCAGAGCAAGAAGCTCAGGGCCTGAGAGTGAAAGACTCAAGACTTGACTACTGTCTATTGCATTTCTCTAGTTTGATTCAATGGAGGACCGCCCAAAGCATATGTCTCTCACATCGGCTAAGGAATGGGCGACAACCCGCGACGAGTGGAGGAGTGGTCGATTGAAACACTGACTACCTTGGTTGAAGGTAGTCTGCACGTGGAGCAGACACCCGAAGCAGTCGCAGACATTGCCATTTGCCCAGCCCCCCCAGCACGACGTAGTCGACGCTTGCTGCCGATCCAAGTGAAGGGGAGCAAGTCAGAGGTTGGTCCTTGGTTGCGGCAAATAAAACACAAGATACGAACAAAGCGCCAAGCCTACCATAGCCTGACTCTAGTAGGCCTCACTTCCAAGAGGCGACGAGTATTGGTCATCGAAATCAACAAACATACGGCGTGGGACAGCGTCGACCTGGAGCACAGCCGGTGGTGGGTAAAGCGGGAACACTTGGCCGACCACTTGCGGGAAATCTGGGCAAGGAGTAGCACCTTATGCGCGGCATCTTTCTGCCAAGCAGCGGCCACATCCCCCAACCAATACGTGGAAACAACCAGCAGGGCTAGCTTCGCTGAAGCCCTAGCAAATCTGGGGCACCAATACGAGCACGCAAAGCAAGGCTTCACAGCACGAGACGGCGTTCTGCGGTGTAAAACTGGCCGCCTGCTGAGATGCCAGGAGAGAACTATGAAGTTCAAGAAGAATAACTCTGGCAAGACTATCGGGCTACACGTCAGCACAAGTAGGCACTTCCTTTCATGGGTTTCGTCATGGAGCACAGAAGAACTACCCGAGTGCGCTACTTAGTACAGAAGCGTAGGACTGAAACGAGTTCAACTACAAGCAAATAATTGAAGTAGCCGCCATCTTTCAACAACTACGCAGTGCCTCAAATAAAGACTGCATTTGGCGACCACATAAATAACGAAATACCATAGGAAAAACGGCGACGGATACCATGCAGAGGAGCTGGACTTGTTCGTTTTGCATATACGTCAATCCGAAGACCCAGCCGACTTGTACCTTAGGGGAAGCTTCGCAATTCCCATCGCTGAACTCGCCAGGTATGGATATGCGCCAAGGACTGCCAGCGAAAGGCGCTACAGCTTCGATCGATGCCATTTTCTGATAGTCTCTCAATTAAGCTCGTTGCTCATGCAACTCCCTAAGTGAGGCAAGCACATCCTTATCCCCCCTGAAATATGTAATCAACTCGTTTCCTATGTGCAATCGTGGAAGGTGTGTGTGATGCTAGCCAGTAGAACTCAGTCGCATTCCAATTCATCAAAAAACGCAAACGCAAATACTTGACTCAGGTGGGTGAAAACTTTGACAGCTTATCCTCGTGGTCTACCATACGTGATGAACCCTCGTAAAGAGTGGGTCGATGAGTTTTTTGTTGGGTATGGATCTAATGAAGAAGAGGAGCGGAGAAGAGTAAAGAAGACCCTGGCCGCTATCTTAGAAAAGGCGTGACGCTTGAGAGCTCTCGTTCGTCACGCACTACGATCAGAGTAATGGACTGGAGCGAGCGTCTCTCTGTCACTCCAATACCCAGCCATATCGACTACAGACAAGAACATCGCTCCACCAGAGCAAGCAGACTTCGAGACCTCTCCGGGTCGACCCAAGGCGATAAGGATCTCACTGCTCACTCTGGAACCCTATCAGTAACAGCATGGGAGCTTCTGCGTATAGGTGTCGCGATTAGATAGCTCATTCACAGCTTTGCACTTTCTGAAGCTTCTCGATCTGCCTCGAATGGGCTGCATTATAATTCAAGACATTTTGACGGATGTGATTTATAGTAGTGGCCTGGTCAGTCTGGCGTTGAAGGAAGAGCTTAGCTGCGTCGATTGACTCGGCGTTGCTTTCGATCTATTTAAGTTGGGAGCACGTTGATGTAGATGGGATGATCATAATTTGAAGGGCGAGGTAGTGCCAGTATTCGGCACAGAATGACACTGAGCAACGATCTGCAGAACATGACGAGCAGGGAGCATTTCTTTGAACGATGAAAATGATGCGACTTGTACGCGGAGGCGATTCAGTTGTAGTTTGGTTTCAGTTCTACGCTGTTGATAGTTCGAAGGAGTTAGTTGAAGTCAGAAAGTATGAGCTCACGCGTGATGTTTGTTGTTTGAGATTATGATGGGAGATGGTGGCGCTATGCACTGCATGATCTGCACATGTAGACCAAGATTTTTAATTTCAGCCATTTCAGTCGAGAGTGATTAGCTATCTAGTATCTATACTCACCTGCCACGCTGGATGGTTCTTCTTCGATTCGCGAAAGCAACCGGGCCTCGCGATCTGCCGTTTCTTCTGACACTTGAAGCCCTTCCGTGAGGGACTTGTTTATCGCATTCTTCGCGGCGCCAGATTTTGCCGGAGACGACTGCTTCCCCTTGGAGTCCACCACCAGCACCTTCAGCCTGACGCAGTTGCAAGTTTGTGCATGTTTTCCCGCGCCTGGGCTGAGGAGGACTTTCTGGATCACGTCAACTGCTTCTTCCTTTGCCGCCCAGAAAGTTGACGACTGTGGACGCTTTTCATCCTTGTCCCACTTCGTTGTGCGTGGCCACCGAATGCACAGATAGCGGCCTGCCTCCGTGGCTCGCCTCTCGCTTTTGTGCACACGGAAAACAACGCTGCTGCAAGTCTGGCACACTCCTTCCCAGCTTCGTTCGTTCTTCACGAAGCCCAGCTTCCTCCTGGTGGATTTGTCAGGCATCTCGCCACGCGATCCAGTCCCGCCGTGGCCGATCTTTCGCCGCTTCACCTCGCGGCCCATCTGTCCCAAGTCATGCACGTCGCCGTTGATCATCTCGCTAAAAAATTGGGTCACGTCGTCGTCCGTTGCAGCTGTGAGGATTTCGCGAAGTGTCGACCGCATCAACTTTTCAGGCGGTTCGCTGTCGACATTGATCTTCATATCCGAAAGCCAGCGGATGGCGTGCAGAAGTAGATCACACGGGATGCTGTCGATGCATTTTCGGACTGCATGCCACGGATGCAAGACTTGCGATCGGTATGATGCTCCGAAGTGTCCACCTCTGAAGGTGCACTGGTAGTCCATCAAGAAGTGAAGGTTTAACGAGAGGCCTGCCCGAACAGGCTCAACGCAATCTTTCGGCTTGCGCAGTACAACTTCAGCGCGTTCTTCATCCACCTCCATCACAAAGCCGCAGTGCAGACCTTCGATCTCCGCGATGTAGTACCAGACTCCATCCTCGAAGTCAAAGGCGATCAAAGGCTTATCCGATTTGCGCCACTGTCTCAGACGCCAGCTGTTGTCAATCACTTGACCGAGTCGGCGAGACAGCTGAAAGTGCTCCTGGTCATCATGCTTCACCGCCTGCATGAATGCCATCACCTCGAGGCCAGGCACGTAGTAGTTCATGGGGTGGCAGCACTTAGAAGAGTCCTTCGCGCTCTTCTTGAGATTCTCGGAAATCACATCGAAGTCTTCTGGGAGCTTCATAGCAGCAGGAAAGTCCTCCACTTGTCTGAAGGAGGAGAGAGTAGTTTTGTTCTTCTTGTGTTCTTCGAGGATAGCTTTCTTGAGCTCCTCCTCTGAACCGAGGCCGTGCAACTTCTTGCGAAAAGACACGACGTCCGCCGGCTTCTCCAAAGACGGCGAGCCTATCCGTGGAAGCTCTTCGAAGAGGGCAGCTGCTTTTGCCCACTGCAGCACTTGATGCGACATGCGAAATTGTCCAGCTAGCTGCAAGATGCGCTGCGCGACGCAGCTTACCCACCGCCACGGCGTTTCACCTTCTGAGTCCGAAGTTGGGCCAGAAATTGCCACGCGCTTCACTATTTTTTTCGCCAGACTCTTCTCTCCTTGCTCCAGGAGGTAGATGAGGTAGTTGCGCACCTGGCCATGGTCTCGAAAGTCAAACACCCCAGGGCGCCGCATCTTCACTCGGTGATCCACCTCCTTGCGGAGTAAAATCGTGACGAAGATGCTGAAGCGTGGGTCCCACATCTCGTAGATCAGAAAGCGCGTCATCAAAGTCATGAAGCGACCAACGCGGAGAAGCTGGCCTTGGTTCCAGATCTTGTTGAAGGTCTCGACGATTGATGTGAGCAAGACCTTGTGGAAGTTCTCCGCCACAGAAATCAGAAAAGCGTGGAATCCACCAGCGAGACACAAGTAGGGGAGCATGTGCGTCAGCGGCTCCATCCTCTGTCCATGTTTTTCATCATATTGCTGTCCGTAAGTCATCTTCAGACGCAGCAGATGAAACGCAAAAGGAAGAGCATGAGCTTCACGATAGTGGGCGATGGAGTCTTCTAAGCGGATTGCGTCCTCAACTGCGTCCAGCAAGTCTTGGATTTTCCTCCTATCTCCAGTGTCATTCCCGGAGACTACTAAAGCGTCCTCCCCCGCCTCACCTTGCTCTCCCTCGTCCTGGTCTGCTTGTGCATCCGCTTCCACCATCGCCTGCGGATCCTCTTGGCCCAAGATCGTGCCGTCATCGACCGACTCAGCTATTGCCGGGAAAAGTTGGTCAACATCGATATCCTCTTGAGTCTCATCGGGGCCACAAGGCAGAAGCTGCTCGCCAGGGTGGACCTTTGCCCGCTTTCGAGCTGCGTCACCAGCTAACATTCTTCGCAAGACGTGACGGGTCTGGTACTTGAACCGCTGAGACCAGTCAGCAGCGTACTCGTCTCCCCACCATCGCATCCGAACAACCGACGTCAAGGGGTTGGCTGTGAAGTTGGAACTATTTAGGGGTCATGGTAGGGGGTCCAGAAGGCTGCGCGATTTTGTTCAAGTTGGCGACATTAGAAGCCGCCACTTTGGACGTCCTTCTGTGACTGTGGACCCACTAGTATCCAATCACTTTGGCCGTCAGAAAGTAAAAGCCTCGCTTTGCCTCCGTAGTCTTATGGGGCTAAATCGCTGAGGTAGTTTTTCCAAATCATACCGTCCTGGGAAAAACTACCTCAGTGGGTCTTTTTGGCGACACAGTAAGCCACAACTTGGCGACACCGTAAGCGACACCGTAAGCAACAAATTGAGCAAAGTCTTGAGAGATAGAAGATCCAAAGCCAAGAACAAACGAAGGAGAAAAAGCAGTACTTCGTCTCAAGGCCTCGACCGTCGTAAAGCCACCGCTTTCCCGCTCCAAGTCCTCGTCTATGAGGCCCTCCAGTAATGCCTCCTCAGCCGCAACTCCTCTCCAATATTCGAACCCACCACGCAAGCTACGGCGAGCCATGTATCCTCCTGAGAAGTTTCGAAGGTTCGTCTTCAACCGCGTCAGAGCCTTTTCTTTGTTGGCACAGTTCCATAGTCGGCGATGGAGGCCCAGCCGTCCGACCACTCGAAAGTGGTCACCTAGTGCGTTTGACCCTCTAGCTTCTGCTTCCTCCTGGTCATGGTCCAAGATTAAAATCGGCTCCCAGTCTTTCGATAATTCTGGACGGTAATGTCTCTTCACCCATGCCTCGCCAAAGAGGAAGCGCCACTTCGTGAGCGCTTCATGCGTTTTCACCACAGCACTCCCATACTTTTCGCCTTTTTGGACACCAGCTCCCGGACGTTGAAGTGGTAAAGCATGGAGAAATGTCCGGAATCCCTCTCGAATTCTATCGTAGCAGAGGATGTAAATCTGGTGGTAGATTAGGCGTCGAGGATGGAGTGCTATTCTTTAAGGTGGAGAAGTTAGAAGATCAGTTCTCGTCGGTGCATCTGAAAAAATGACCGCGGTCATTTTTTTAAGAAGGAGAATTTACAGCGTCACTCTTTAGATGCGCAGCTGCTCAATCGTCACCAAGCGACAACATCATAGACGCCCATAGAAGAAGTAAGGGAATGCCAGCGAGTTTGTTTTCTTCTCCTTTCCTTTCATCGAGCCATCACATTGGAGGGCCAGCGTCTTCTGCCACTCAAGCTGGTCTGAGGCGTGATTGATCCAAGGGATCCGCATCGTGTTTGCGAGGCGTCCGATGAAGTAGACGACGTTCAAAAGGCCCACAAGAGTACTTTTCTGAAGTTATGGCTGAAGTTGTTTGAGGAGCAAGCTACTTGCGTAAGAACCTCCACCATGAAGCAGCAAGGTCTTGAATGAAGACCCACAGGAGTCAAGCCCTGCTCAATTTGTAAAGTTTCTAGTACTACCAACTAGCTTGAGTTCTTCAGTCTAACCCTCCACCGTGAAGGAGGCTTAAAGATTTTGCTCACCTTCATGAAGTGCCCACTGATGTCTTCGCTGCCTTTTCCGAAGTAATACGCGTCGAATTTCTTTGCGATCTCCACACGCTTCTCATCAAGTTCGTCACACTTGAACTTCAATGGCTTCAGGACGTGGTTATCCAGATAGTGCCGCGTCAAGTGCTTCTTGCAGTCATGCTTGACGATGCACCGCATGAAAAGAACCTGGAGGAGGCAGCGTCGTTTGTGATGAGAGAGGAGAAGAATGCGCACGACGTGGCGCCCTACTGAAAAACAAGGACGAGTGAGCGTTTCAGAGTGCAGTAGTTTCATTTTGCCAACCTCTTCGGCGTTGCAGAGTAGATACTTGAAACGAAGCTCAAACGTGAAACAGTACCGCTTCGAACCCGAACTGGTCATACACGCGCCCTGCATCAGCATCACAATGCTCAGAAGAGAAAGCGCCTTCATCCCGCCGAAATTCTTTCCACTTCTCTCCCCAGCCGGCGCTCGGAAAGTCAGACCGTGTGAAGTTTTTTGCCTTATTCGCCGGCAAAAGATAGCGGAGGCGGAGCTGGCCATTGCTTACGAGCTGCACTTTAGTCATTTTTCTTCACTGTGATCTTTTGCCACCTTGTTATCAAAAGATAATCATCGCTACAATTAGTTCTCTTTTTTCAGCTCTATCATAAGGCAGCACTTTCTTGCTGTTTCCTTTTTCAGGGTGCAACCATATAGCTTTTACTGGGGAGATTCGACGAGTTTCGATCTCTCAGTCTCTCACTCTCATCTGTGGCGAACCCTCCCGAAGACGACATCGAGGCGAGGAATAGACAAGACAATGCCGACACTGCCGCAGGTGGCTGTTTAGGTCATCGCGCTGCTTCAGGCGATCACATCGTAGTTTTTGAAGTGGTCAATCCCTGCGACTTCAGTCGTTCTTGTTTCACTTGCAGTGGAAGTTATGAAAATCCCATCCCTTTCTTAACATGAGACCCCTTTTGCTCATCATGATAATGCTCCATAAGTTCTTAGTGCCTCACGCTGATCCAAATCGTTTTGAGTCTTGCAATAGTTATAAACTTTCTCATGTAGGTTCTTGCTATGCCACCAGCTTCAATCATTTCCATCAATAGAAATATTTAAAAAGTGAATTGGTTGTACAGTTCGGAAATCATCACAGGCAAATACTTACCCAAATGCTTCCCGTGGACACGACTAGAAACACAAGTGAGGTCGTCGATCAAATAACTCGAAATTATTAAGAATAGTCACAACACTGACGATGTGGCCGCATATTAGCGCCACTAATTTCAAATCTTCTGGATATAGTTTTATTTTGAGTAAACTTCTTTCTTCAATATAAATTCTCCATGGTCGAGAATGGTTCTGCTACGTTGGTTTCTAGTTCTGCACTCAGATGGTCAAAACGATCACTCCCGTGGATGGTATTGGTCTACAAGTAGACTACCCTAGTACTCTCTAGCACCTTCCTAACCCTCCATCATCGCAGCAATGTCCTCGAGACCCGTGGCGGCGGCGCTGGACGAGGCCTGCGCGGTGGTCTCCGCCACCGCGGACTGGGACTCCGTCATGACCTGCGATTCGTTCTTTGCGGCTGTGGCCATCGGCACATCAGAGGAGCTGCTGGAATCGGACGACTCGTCTCCTTCTTCTTCCTCGGCATCATCATCAGAAGAGGAGGACTCCGACAAGACCGCTTTCGGAGCTGGAGTCTGTAAGCCCAAGTCCAAGGTCTTGGTCTTCGGAGGAGAGGCCTCACCCAACGTCTCGCTCGCCTTGGCGTCCGTGTTGGGCTTGTCCTCGTCGGGTTTGGTCGGCGACTCCTCAGACTTCTTGGGAGAGACGCTCGGAACAGCGATAGTCGTCTTCTGGCCATCCTCGTAGGTCACCTCCATCAGATTATCACCACAAGCGCCCGGCAAAAGGCGGGTCGACTTGATCTTGCGGGACAGATTGACGGTCGCCTTCGCGACGGCATGAGCCTCTTCTACCGAGCTCGGCTTGGGCGGCGAAGCCGAACCAGCCGGAGTGATCTTGCTCAGGGACTGTTTCTCATCAGCAGCTTGGAACAAGGTAGCTCCAACGGCGTCAGCCTTCTCAGAGTTCTTGGCGCCAGCAGCGGGAGGGGCACGACCATGAGAGCGAGAGCGATATCCAGCAACCATCGGAGAAGCAGCCTTGCGGTCTTCCTTCTTATCCTGTACAGATTTACAACAAAGATATCAAGGTGGTATAGTGGGGGTGAGGTAATAGTAAGAAGCTGCTTTCCTCTGGAACTGATTTTATCACTCTAAAGACTAGCAGTTACCTTCTTCTTCTTTTTCTTTTGGCTGTCCTCGGCAACAATCGCCGTGGGTGGAGCAGTAGAGCCCGAAGGGCCAGGCGCATTTGTCAGAGCCAAGGCCGGACCATTGTTGACCACGATGCAGTCGGGCTCAACAGGATTCTCCAACTGGCGGGCGCGCAGCTCAGCGCTCTTGTTCTCAGCGATCTGCTCCAACTTCGAGAGGATATCGACCAGAGCACCCGGGGCTTTGTTGGACATTTCCTGGATCTCATCTAAGCAGGACTGCTCGGTTGCAGGGCCACCAGTCGGACCAGGAGGCAGCTGCAAGATGATTTTAAGGCGGAATCGTTGGAGTAGAAATCTTGAGACTATTTTAGATTCATCTGGTCCCCTGTCAATTCCCCTCCTGCTACTAGTCAACAGCTCAATGCCTTGTCTTCATCCATCACTAGCCCCCAGTCTAGAAGTAACCTGGAGATACCTTCTTCTCATCGATTCCGATCCTCGCGTACACCGCGGCAGCAATTTTAGAGGTTTTGACGATGCGGGCGAGGCGGTTCGGTTTCCATCCGGTAGTGATACTCAGCCACTTCAGGTTGTGCTTCAAATCAACCGCGGCCCAGCCTGTGACGAGGGATGACGATACGGAGATAAGTTCTTCAAGTGTGAAATAAAGACGGCGCCACTAAGTGGCCAGAGAAAGATCATTGCCGAGTGAGTTATCGCTCCCGTGCTTGAAAGAATGACGAAGCGCATGCTTTGCAGATGTTATCCGAATAGTGTCCAGCAAGTAGTAAGCATCTGATCCTGAAGCTATGAGTGCCCTCCAATGCGAACTGGTTTCCCTGGAAGACAAAATTGCCCAGAAGGCGCTCCGGGGCCTCCATGGAGTCGAGCTTGTCACTGAGGACGTCACGCATGTAGCGCAAAGACGCCGGCTGCATGTCCGGAATAAGCAGCTCAAAAGCGGCTGATACTTCCTTCGCAATTTTCTGCCGAGTGGGCTTGCGCTCACCCGCGAAGTTGGTCTTCCCTTGCCACTGGAGACTCATTTTCAAGGATTTGTCTGACTGAGAGACGACTTATGCGAATGATGCTTAGTAGTTGCCAAAGCTTACTAGACGGGATCTGCTACCGGGAAGGATTATAGCGGAGTCTTTGCTCAAGTTCTCAACTAGCAACCTGCGATCTTGATGGCCAAACTACATGCTACACCAACCGCCACACTTGGCACCATCTGCCCATGATTTCGACCAGCGAACTTTCTACATCATCCATCGAAAAAAGCAGAACTTCCGAACAACAAAGGGCGATCGACTTTGAGTTCTTCAATAGCAACACTCGAAAGAACAGCAGAAAAAACACGAGTGACGCCGCAGATCTTTGCTCCGAACATGCAGCAGATTCATCAGCACGAAGATAGACACCTCCATCAACCATCCAGAAAAAAAGAATTCCCATCATCTTCACTTCATGCGTTTCTTCTTGACTTCTTCTCCATTCTACAGCAGAAAACGATAAAAGTCCTGTGCGTTGCGAGGTGGATCCACGCGACCACAAATATCACTATTTCTTCCTAGACACCTTCAACCATGATCATTTTCTTGTGGGGTACGCCTGTATATTTGGCCACCTTCGCTCGTCTGCGTCTCCCAGACCCGGTCCTCTTGCTGCCAGCTGCAGATGTCCTCCGTCTATTATCTAATTAGCTAGCTAGTAAATCTAGGTAGTTTAAGGTGACTAAAAATTTTTAAGTAGCTGAGGGTGAGTAGTTTTTTTTTGGTTATAGTTCTTTGCATAATGTTACGTGCAGACTGCGAGAAGCTGTGTACGAAGGAGACTGCGATGTGCAGCAGCGCCCTTAAGTCGCCGACCAAGGTCTCATCTGAGAGAAGCGTCGCTTGAAGAAGGCCCTCTAAGAAGTCTGAGTGCGATTGTTGTAGTGCTGCGAAGTCGAAGACTGGAGCATTCTCATCCAAGAAAGGAGCATTCTCATCCAAGAAAGTATCAGAACCACTTCGGCACGCTCCTGCCCCTTTTTTGCTTTCTGCTTGTTGTTGTTGAAGAAGAAGAGGTCCTTGTTGTCTACTGTCTTGTTCAAGAGGTCCTTCTTGCCTACTTTCTTGTTGAACATGTCTTACTTGTCGCCTACTTTCTTGTTGAACATGTCCTATTTGTTGTCTCTTTTCTTGAAGACGTTGCTCCTCTACTCCCTTATTAAGAAGTTTCTTGTCGAATTCGCGTGCACATTCGGAAATTCGTGACATCATCGTTGACTCTAGAGACGTAACAAAATGCAACATCTCTGCACGCAGAAGGCTCACTGACTGGATCAGGGTACAAATTAGAAACATAGAATGGAGGATGACTCAATTATAGGAAGGTTGGAGATTACGATTAGAAACATAGATGAATTGATGACTGGAAGATCAATATTTATAGGGCGGAAGATACTAGAAACATCAAATCAAAGTCACGTTGCGTACGTGGGAGCTTGAACTGCGATTTGAACTCACTCATCCCCGCTACAAAAAAAAAGTAACTGACGTAAAATACACACCAACATAATCGTTCATCAGCGGCACCGCTACATCGCGTTCTCAGGGCTACCAGAAGATTGGTATCTAGTAATGTTTGTCTCGCGCTTTTCAAGTCCAGGAGAAAGCTGAAAATTCGCGAATAAGTCGCCATCTGTAATGGAGTACAAAACCCAGGTATCCTTTGCTCTCGCCACTGCAAATGCAGGCTAGTTTGCTCTTGCCCTTGTGTTTTTCTAGACTTAGAGGTGGTAGGCAAGCATTCACTCCCCGTAGTTCTCCTCCTTCTAGTGTCGTCGCCATGCTCTACCTGATCTCGTCCACCTTCGCCAGCTCGTTCACGGAGAATCAGATTTCTAGCGCATTCTCGAATCGCTCGGTGGTCAAGCAAAATGTCTTCACGAAAAGTCAGGTTTATTTGTTCGGCAGCAGTAGAAGTAGTACTAGCACTAGCACTAGTTCTAGCAGTGGTACTAGTTGTAGTGGAGGAGAACTTCGGTTTTGACACTTGTGGCATGTCATTTGCAATCTGCGATAAGACCTTCTGCAGTTTGGCAGTAGATAATGATGACACAACGCCTGTATGTCTTTAGAGGTGTGAAAATTTAACATACCTAATCTTCAATGCTCTATTTGCTCTAGTAAATCTAGATGAACAACAAGCTATTTTCTTGTTACAGAGAACTGTCAGTGACACTTTGAGTAGCTGCCATGGGTGACGGTGAAAGCAAGCAAATACACAAATCAATTGGCCCTGAACAGTTCGAAATTGAAATCAGCCGTAATTGCCATGACTGGAGCCTTTGATCGCTGAAATAAGCACCTCTCCTGCGTCCTTTTGCTGGCAAAGCGCCACGAGTTGTAAAGCGCGAAGCACGATTCGTAGTGGACCACGCGTAGGGTGCATCAAACTCTCCATCAAGCACTTCCCCTGCACGGCGGCGACTCGTGAGGCTTCCTTTAGGGTTGCTCTTTCATATTTCCGCAAGACTAGACTGGGTGGAAGCAACTGCCTTATACCCGCCAGAGAAGTTTTCCTTCTACAACTTGATATTCTTCTTCCATCACAAGTAGAACTTGTTGTGGCATTGAAAGGATTTTTTCGACACTTTTCGTCTAACCAGAGACGCAGTTTCACAATTTCGCCTCCCCGACATGCGTCGCGCCCAAACACTTCTTCGATCAAAGGGTGGGCGCCTCGTATGAAAGGAAAAAGCGTACTCATACTCAAAAAAGAAGGCACTTTCCCACCTAGAACCAGCCTAGTTTGAAAGTATGAGAATAAGTAAGTTTTTCCTCTTCATACCTTGACGTAGCTCCGTCTCGCCAAAGGTGTTCCAGCGCTGAAGTAAAGATGTTGCGTCGTCATAAAGGCGTACGAAAAAATCTCCAAAACAGGCATAATCGAGCTCAGCGAGCGAGCGGAGTGCTCGAATCAGCACAACTTCTGCTTCGGGTCCGTAAAGATTGGGACAGTGATATGTGACCTCTGCCAAAACGTCATTCAAGGCCGCGTGTAGTTTAAGGAACGGTTGTGCGCGTGCGCGAGCAAATCGTAAAAAGCGCACCCGACAATCTTGATTGAATTCGATGGAATCTTTCCTCTCAAGGTCATCGTGGAACTCGCGAAGTTTCGTCCCCAGAGTCTCAGCGAGGACCCGCCAAGATCCTGAAAGACTTCGAGCTACACTACTACTGCTACTACTGCCACCCAGACCTACTTCATGATTTGATATAGGTTGAGCATGATCAACAACTCCTACTCCATTTTCAGCAGTCGTTCTCATTTTCAATGCCAGGCGCTCCAAGGAGAGGCATTCCGCGTCCCATAGAGGGCTTAGGGTTATGTCGCAATTTTGAATGCAGGAAACGAGACATTGCAAATGTTCGAGCTTATCAGCCCAAGCTCTCACAACTGCATGTACAGAGGACTGCGCTGGAGAGGTGTGGTTGTGTTCGCGTGCGGTCGTGTCGTTCCCATTCGTCGCAATCGCATTGCTAAAATTGTTCTTCGAACAAGATAGTCCACCTTTGAGCAAATCTTGCATTTCGCGCACAGACAAAAGGCGCTCCGATGTGGCCTCTTTCCCATCTACATCCAAGCCTCTCGACGTCGTTGTTGTGCCCGAGCCTGCGCTCCAGCTTGTTGGTTGTCTTCTTTCCCCGTCTTGTTCTTCTTGTTGGAGGTCTTGCTCTCTCCGCTCTTGCCGACCAGTAGGACTATTTCTACCCTCATGCGCCGGTCTATCCTCTTGCTCATGGATTCTGTTCGTATAATTATGGCAATCAACCATGTGTTGTGCATCTTCATCTTCCGCACCATAGGCAGGAGGTGACAATAACTCATCCAATAACGACGACGAGCTTCCCGGATGAAAGTTGGCGTCCTGTTCTTCCGCTGACGTGGTAGTAAACCAATCCCCATCTTCAACATCAGTTGAGCGATTCTCGATGTCATCTGACATGTCGACTGCATTGCTCTTTCCAGTAGTTTCCAGAAGTTCTTCCGCATTTTCGGTATTTTGATTTTCATCGTGACCACCAGTTGTACCATAAAAAAGAAATCTAGATGCACCTCCTTCTTCTCCTCTTGAAGACGTAGTTCTTGCCTCGTGTCTCTTTCTCAGCGATTTTTCGCCATGTAGATTCGTCGTGTTCAAGGCACCGTTGCGATGGCCGCTGCTGCTGCGTTGCATTTCGGCATCCCATTCACTGTAGTGCATCTCATCTTGCAGATCCAGGATAAAATCGTTCACATCTACCGTTTGAGCCCGACGTCGGTTTTCGCGCGTCTGATTTCGTCTAGCGCGCAGCCGCAAGAGTGCAGGAACCATAGAATTAGGCACGATATTAGAGACATGTTGTCGACGGGTGGAGGTTGTAGTAGTATTTGGCTATTGCAGATATTACCGTCACAACTTCTACGTGTCTTTTTTCAGATATAGACAGTAGAGAAGATGAACTTATCCATTCATCACAGCCGCATGGTCTCTTTCTTCTCGAACTTTCGAAATGCAAGAAGAGTGAAAAGAATATCTCTTTTAGGACATCGAGCAGAAGTCAAATCATTCTGTGGATGTCATTTTCCAGTAGGACAAGAGCCTTACCAGTAAGTGGTTCGAGAGCCAATGCGAAAAGACATTCCAGTATGCCATAGGTAGCAGCTTCTTCCTCGAAAATGAGAGGGGGGTCCAGTGAAGTCGTTGACAACGATCCCAAACCCAAATATTCATGCCAGCTGCGTTCGAACAAATCAGCCTTAGAGTCTTGTCCATGTAGGCGTAATTTCTGCACAAATCCGTCTTTGCTGCGTGACATTAGAAGTGGGTGTACTTTCACTTTGGCTTTGGCTGTAATTATTCCCGTACTCATCTTCCATGGAATAGAATATAGGTGATTTTTTGAAATTGAAAAACAACTACAGCTACCAACCTACACCAAAAAAGTAAAAATCAACACGCCAACTCAGAGTCATAACAGCGCCAACCCCTTCCCGTCCAGGGTTTCTACTGGGCTGTCATCCAAAAAGCCTTTGGCCCATGTGACAGTTTCGTCAATATTGCTTTTTGTGTCCAACGCCACGCCGCTGCAGTTCCTCAACGAATGCACAGCTAGAGCTTCTAGCTGCTCTAGAATGGCCGTCTGTCTCTTCACCTCCAAAGACGAAGACATCTTTCTAAATGAACAATGAGGATGAGTAGTCGGTACTTTGCACCGATTGTGTAATAAATGTATGCAGTTGCGGGGCTGTCTAGAAGATAAGGAACAATATCGACTGTTTGAAGTTATAGATTTTTTACGTCAGGAGAAGTCCATCTTGGAACTCTTTCCAATCAATCTGAATCAGCATGGAGATGTACTCATCATCTTCCATCTCTAGTAGTGCCGACCTAAGTACACTTGTTCTTGTGTGCGCTTGTCTTTCCCTTGGGCAGCAGGAGGTGATCGGAAGAGCAAATTGTTTTGCTTCCTTTGCCTTTCATCGCATGTTGCTCAGTCTCTGTGATACAGCACGGATAAAATAAAGATCTTAAACAAGATCGAACGTGAAATCCAGACTGCGTTTGATGATAGGAGCGTGGTCAATTTTTGACCAGAAGGGAGCGCTTCTCTTTGGCCAGTGCCTGATTTTCTAGTGCCGCAGATGGTGGCCGCTTCTCTCGGTGATAGAAGCGCTCGCAAAGAGCATCTTGATGATGCGAATCTATCCGGCAATCTGCCTAAGATTTTTCTGATTCATGTTCATGCTCATGTTATTACTTACACGCACGGCATCCACGCACGCAAGCATTCTGTAAAGAGGAACCTGCGTAAGGCCTCATAAACAGCACTTATTCATCCTTTTCATCTTTTTAGACAAGATCATCTTTTTAGACAAGACTAGCGAGGAGGCCCCAACTACAAGCGGTTTGGTACATATGTCATATGAGTCTACTGTTGCTCTGAAAATGAGTGTTGTTCTCTATGCAGCGACGAAGTATGTGTCCAAGAACGATATTGCTCAGAAGTATCTATTCTGTACATGATGATGTTGATGATCGTAGACTTGTATTTTCCACCTCAACTGCAATATTAAGTGTGACTTCCCACCTTTGTTGGAGTAATCGGCACCCTCATCATGATCAACATGAAGTTTCTTCTTCGTATCCTGAAGGGCCATCTTTCTATGCATCCCTAAAATGCGGCGTCATCATCTTCTTTGTTCTATGCACCCCTAAAATAAGGCGTCCCACGTGTATCTCTGAGGTTCATGGTGACAACATCACGTTGGGGGACCATCGTCGCCTCTGTGAAATGATCCAGCTTCGACGCAGGGTTAGCACCCAACGTCATCGTTTGCGCCAAGGCCGTACGCGGAGTCATCCTTGCGCGATGCGCAGCATAGGAATATGAGAGAGTAGGAGATGACGATGTTTTTTATGTTGTTTTGACTTTAACTTTAAGAACTTTTTTTGGAAATGGTGTTTGTTTTTGATAATCATTAGGTAGTACTTGTTCTATCTTGTTTGGTTCTGTCTGTGTTTCAGAACAAATAATGAATGAGAACGACACTCGATTTAAGTACCTTCAGTCATAAAAGATCATATGTCCCCCTCATGCCCATCGGTGTTTCGAATATGTAGCTTCGATTTGGCAGTCCCATTCGCAACATCGGAGAAGCCTTGCCTGCTGGAATCACGTCATTGTAAGGTGATGGGACAGTGTTTAGAAAGCGGAAATAACAGTTGTGTTGAGTAGACATGATCAAACGATAAAGACATGCCCAATCTTTTAGAACTGATGCGTGTACTTATTTCTCCCAACCAACGATCTGCTGAGTCAGCATGCTTCCACTAAATAAGCTTGTGGCAAAGAGAACAGTGCTGGAAGAAGTGAAGGTCTTCTAACATTAGATAGAGTACCTGATCCGCAAGCAGCCATCGTGTACTAACAGAAAAAACAGGGGGGAGGGGTAGAGAATAGCAGAACAAAGATGAAAAAACACAGAGGCACAAGGAGGCCAGGGATAGCTGAATGAGCACCTCTTGCACAGCTATCTCCCACTACCAAAGGTAGCCTGTGCCAACCGAAGACAGATTCGTGTTCAGGAAAAAACCAACCAGGGGAACTTCATAGTAAGACCAGACCTCAGTCATAGAAGCAGGGATAGCAGTTCATTTGAATCAGATAGATAACATAAGAACAAATGTCAGAAATAAATAGAGGCCGCAAACTGTAAGTTGGCCTAGTACGCAGTCGGTAATATCCCGCGAAGAAGAAGAAGTGAGGCATTGTCTCATTGAACAGGAGCGGCAGCTGTAGTAACGTCGAAGTAGTACTCTCAGAACAGGAAGGACATAAGTATACTTAGCACAGGTAGCCAAAAATGAGAGAGAACAAGAGATCTAAGTGAACCTAACTTAGAGTGAAGGGTGGTAGAGAAGGAAGAAGTGGAGGAGGGAAAAAAAGGCACAGGAGAAGAATCGAGTGGGAGAGGAGGAGTAAGTTTGAGATTAATGAGTAAAAGAGTGGAGTGATAGAGAAGAGTAGATGATGTTGTTGCCATGAGCAGCTCCACATGTGTAAGAAGATGGTATGAGTTGGATCTTCCACTAAATAAGTATAAGACTGAGCTGCCACGAGATCAACCTTATTCAAAACCATAACAAATGCATTGCATGATCAGCACTGAGACTCCGCCGGGGGCGCATACCTGCAAGAGCAGGCATGGAGAGAGTCGGGAAATGCGCTGCAGACGCATATTGGCGCAAATGGTGTCGATCGCGTGCTGGGTCGTCCCGTTCTCTTAGAGAAGATCCAGTGCGGACGTAGGAAGTAGGATCGTGATCCCTGGATCTTCCGTGCTCTCCTCGACTCCGATGGTGATGGTCTGCTCGTGGGAGGAGTTAGAAAGCGAAGAGATGGAAGGGGCCTAGGGACACAAATAGCACAATTCGAAATCAATGTGATAGCAAACTACAAGATTCATCTGAAGAAAAACAAAAATCCTCGCAAGAAGGAGTTGCTCAATGAATTACAGGAACAAGAGCTCGCCACTAGAATAGGAAACGGATGATCTGCCTTTAATGAATAAAAATACGTCATAAGAGGGTGGAAACTAGATTTCCACTCCATAGTACATTTACTATAAATGTTTCCAATGACTTAGCCATAAAGAGATCGTCCCCTACTTCTGCGGCGATCCTCGCGGAAGTAACCGGCTTCGCTGACTGCTCGCTCAAGGCTTCTACTTTTATGTGGACGGCGATGCGGGTTGTTCGAGGTCCTTGTCAGCCTAAGATGGTAGTCGTCAGACCTTGCCGAGATCACCGTGGAAGATCGCTCAGTATCGAGCGGCTGCATGGAATAATGCTCTCGGCCTCGAGCAGAGAGAGACATCCTATTATTTTTCTTCCTGTGGGGAATGCTTACGAATTTTGATTCTGATACTGCATATACGCATAGGCAGCGTAGAGGGATTCTTCAAACTTAAATCGACATGCACATGCTCCAGTGAAAGTCGAGCATTTATACAGATTACTACAACATTTATCACGAAGATACCAGGCGCGTTAACAGAGAACAATCTTCGATGTACGATAGCAAGCGAAGTCTTAATCTTACATGACTCGCGGAGTAGCGCCTAATTTCGGCGGAAAAACTTCAGTCATATCAACAGAAGAGTTCCTACCTTCAAACGTCGGAAACTAGAACCGCCCGACGCGTGGCCTGACTTCGGCGGGCGCGTAGATGCGTCGCGTTGTCGATATTATTCGCCTAGTAGACCCTACTGAAGTTTTTCCGCCGACGAAACGTTCTAGCAACACAAGCCATGTCATCTTACTAATTTATCTATTATCATCAATGAGGCAAACGAGATCGACGATTACTTCAACTTCGCCTTCATCAGACGACTCTACTTCGTTTTTGGGGAGAGGGTAGGGTCAGCTACGGCTTACCCTTCATTTATACCATCGGACCACCGAATATTCAGCTAGACCCAACCGAAAAACCGACAACAGAGCATCACTTCCATTGAGCCTCCGACAGTGTTGAATCTTTTTTAGTTATCTTCACAACCGAGCCTCAGCCACATCTTCCGACTCCGATAGTCGTGATTTCAACTAGTGCTACAGACAACACGTGAGCAGTACTTTTCCTTTTTCCAGATGAACAACCATCCCAATGGTTTTCGACCAATATTATCTCAGTAGGGTTATCGCCAACAGTCGAAGAGAAGTTTTCATGTATTAAGCAGGCAGCTTCATTTACATTTTTTTAATATCTTAGTTACGTCTGCTAGAAGGTTCCTCCGGAGTGTCACACAAGGTACTCTTATGGCACCATGCATTACGCATAACAACTAGGATGGACAACGACAAACAACGGACAAAAAAGGTAGGAGGCGGAAGCGGGAGCGGTCTATGATATATCTAGGTGAAAAAGTTGTAAGAAGGGATATTTTGGGGTCTCTACCTGAGAGACAGATGGCAAAGAGGGAAGAAGTGGTCTTGATGCGAACTTCGGATGTGGGAAACACTCAAAAATGCAACTTTAAATAGTAGGTGGTAGAAGAACGAAGTCGTTCTTCGTTTACGAAGTCATTCTTCCTTTGTTTTGACAAAGTTTATGTGGTTGACCTTTGTCTTTCTTCAAACATAATCAACCTTGCTATTTCATCTTCTTCGAATCGTCTACGTCAGCTTTAGTCGCAAAGAAAATTCAATTTAATCTTGCTGTGATATCGACGAGGTAAATTGTCCGAGTGAATGAATGAATGATTAATGATCTTCTTGAGGAAAACTGATACGAAGGAGAAACGTGTTGGTGTTCAAGTTGAACGTCAGAACAACCAAAGCCATTTCTTATTGGCACCCATTTACTCATCTAAAAACCCATGCAGTTGATGTTGACTCGAACATCTATTCGGCAGCTTTGCCTAAGATGTTCTCCCTTACTCATCTATTTGAAAAGGCTGATGTCATCAAACAACTTGTCAGCTTCTTTATTCGCTTGGGTGGCAGCAGAGGTGAAGAAGTCTACTTGAAAAGGGTCTTTGAGGTTCGGTGTGGCCAGTTTACTACTGGGTGATCCTGTAGTTTTACCACTAGACGGGGAGGACATGAATGCTGTAGAGGTAGGTATTGTACTAGCTGATCTTCCTGCTGTTCCTGAAGAGGATGCAGCTATTGGAGGCCCTCCAGTAGTCAGTACTACAGGACCGCCGGCACTACCGTCGCCTCCTCCACCGCGACCTGCGTTTCCTGTTGGTGAAAAGCCTGTGGCAATAGGTTCTAAATCAGCGAACAGATTGTCGTCTGCACCACTAGCCGGCTTCTCAGCCACAAAGGCGTTCACATTGTACAGAGCGTCGAAGTTCTTTCTTGGAGGCATTGTCCCATTCCCAGAGCTATTTCCATAAGGTATTGATGAAGACGAAGCTGGAGCTGATGTGCCTGTCAAAACTCCTCCTGACGCAGTTGTTTTTGCTGTAGTGCCCACTCCCGCAAATAGGAGGTCTTCTGCTTCACGAGATCCTCCTGTCCTTTTTGCCGGAGCAAACAGATCTAAATTTGGATCTATGCCTATACTTCCACCTCCTCCTGCTTCTGGACTTGGACTCAGTTCATGCTTTAGCGCTCACCCTAATCCATCTTCAAGACCATCCTGAGACTGTTTTCCCCTTGAAAACGTCTCTACGATGCTTCCGAATCCGAAGATGGATTGGGGGGAGCCATAAATGCCCTGCTTCTGGACTTGGACTCAGTTCATGCTGTTGTTGTCGTGATTGACTACTTGGCTGCGTAGTTGTTGTTTCTGTTGATGTAGTGCCAAAGTCTGCAGTGCCAAAGTCCGCGACCCATGGGTCGGAATCTTTTGAAGAAGCTCCTCTAGAAGTATTTGAAGCTAGTAAGTCTAGAACATTGTTAGCAGAGACGCAGACGCCATTCGCAACTGATGTGGAAGCGCTACTCGCATTACTGGCACTGGCGCCACCACCGCTTGTTTGGCCTTGTTGAGAAGAGGACGTCGCTGCAAGTTGCTGGACTTGCCAAGCAGGTCTTGCCTCAGCGGCACTTTTGGGTCCAGTGGCTTTTGTCCTAAATTGAGCCATTGCGGTCTCTGCATCATCGTCTTTTTTTGCAGAGGATGAGGATGATGCTGTTGCATTGCCTTCTTCTCCAGTTGTTGCGCCTTGATTTGAAGCTCCATTCTGTTGTTGGGAATTTGAAGATGACGCTGTTGTACTTTTCACCACGCCTTCTTTGCCTGCTGCTACACCCCGAAGCGGAGGTGCGGTACTTTTCATTCCCAAGTTCGTCAATAGCGCGTCTGAATAGGCGACCACTGTACTGGTTACCCCGCCTGCAGTAGTACTCGATGAGGCACTCTTATTATCAGCACCACCTGCACTATTCGTATTCCCTGATGTTCCACCTCCACCGGACGTTGAGCCCGATGCCGATGCTGTGACTAGACCGCCACTATTTATTCCTGTTGAAGAATCTCCACCACCGCCTGCTTGCTGTTTTTCGTGTTCTACTAGGTTCATCACTGCCACTGGATTATATACCGCCCCATGCAGTTGCTGGTTTCGTTCGTGACACTTCCGTCGTTTTTCTCGCTTTTGCTCCAAAACCGCCATTGGCGGAGACACCACTAAAGTGTTTCCGTCTTCTGTAGGATCTAGACAGGGATTGCCTTCCCACTCCCAGAGCATGCGGACTAAATTTCGTGAATTCAAACGCGCGTCCGGTCTTTTCGCCAGAAGCCAGTGGAGAACGGTCTCGAGGTTCTCACTATATGTCTCGCAAGGCACAAAATCAGCAGGAAGGTCGTACCTGATGAGAAAGTAGTAAGGACGGAGTGTTTCTTGACTGGATATTAATTCAGTAGGGTGTAGTGCCAGTCGTAGTTACCAACTACTAAGGGACGTTTCAAAAGTATAGAACACAAATGGTAAGAACTCGAGCCTATCTATCATGTTCTACTTTCAGAGACGAGTGAGAGAAAAATCAAAAAAACTGCAAGCGCATAAAATTAACATGTACAACATAACATCCAATAGTAGTGGTGGAGCCAACCCAACTAGGAAAGAACCAAAAGAAGACGAAAGTCATAATAATTGTAGGTACAACAACATTATGGGTTGAAAAGTAAACTAATAGTCGTCTACCCTGCATGTGCGATCGCTAGTGGTGCGGTGCAGTCTTGGAAAGGCTGTTTGTAGAACATGAGGGTGTACAGAATGCACCCTACTTGCCACTGGTCGATTTGGATGTGGAGGACTTCTTTTTTGTAGAGGTCCGCCATTTCCGGAGGTCTGTACATCATCGTTACCTGTCCCGGGTGGATGTGCATGTGGTAGAAAGAAGAAGCACAATTCTGTTCGTACTTCTAGTCGGTTGTATTCAAACTTCTTGAACAAATTTCTTGTTGCCAACGTTTCTCGTCGTGAGTATGAGATACACTGGTGTTCTTTGTTCACATAAGCTACACGACCGCGAAGATCTACTACGGAGACGACTTGTAATGGTAGTTGATCTGCGGCTTAATGTACTAGAGTAGTTTATAGGGGTGCCAGATCCGGGATGGGATGGATCGGATGGATCGGATGGATCGGATGGACTTTCCACCATTTCAAGTAGGATCGGAAGAATCAGGGGGGTCCATCCGATCCATCCAAGTCCATCCTACATCCGTTCTATAAACTACTCTGATATACAAATCTTTTTCTTGGATCATGGTGTCTTTCTCAACAACGTCAACGTAATCAACGTCATCCTCAACAACTCAAAATCACAAATTACGTTCTCCTCATAGTGGTCTTGTTTCCGCATGATTTCCTGCCTGCTCGCGTTGGAGAGGTCTACGCGATCACTTGTCCACGAACCAAAGTCACAGAGCTTCCAATTGTTGTCGTTGCCTAGAATTATGTTCTCCACCTTCAAATCCTGGTGCACGACTGGAGGCTTGTGCGAATGGAGCAGGAAAACAGCTTCCGCAATGTCTTGTAATGGCTTCAGGATGTCTTGGGCTTAGAGGAGGACGAACTCATGATTAAGAAATGTTCATGCTGCATTTGCAAAAAGAAGATGAGGAAGAAAAGGACTACTTGTGCTGCGAGAGTAAGAATTAAGCTCGCGCCGATACAATTACAAATTCATACGCATTCAAATTCATCACGTTCTTCAAGAACAAGCATTCTCATAATTTTCAGGTATTCGTTTGTTAATTCCTCCATTTTGCGTGATCCACTGAAGGAGAGTTCCGTTTGGACAGAGCTCCATCAGCATCACGATCTCCTTTCGGACTGGACCACCACCAGTCTGCAAATCGATCATGGCAGACTGATAAAACCGCACAATATTCTTGTGCTCGGGAAGGGAAGCGAGGAGAGCTACCTGTTGATGTTGTGGTAGTTGTGCTGGGGTCGTTGTAGCTGTAGGTGTATAGTGGTTTTATAATATTATGTTTTGAAGATAAAGAACGATGAAGATCATGGGTATCGAACAAGTATCCTCATCCTTTTTTCTCGCTGGTGCAGCATGTATATCTAAAACGAATCTTTCAACAATGCGTGTCAACATATGTACCTCTCGATTTGCCATATCAAGTTTCTTCTTGTCTTGGCAAATCATTTTTTTGATCGCGTATTCATCTCCGGTCTTGCCGTCTTTTCCCAGAGAAACGTAGGCGAAGCCACCTTCTGCGAGCTCCTTCACTTCCTCTATCTCTTGCCCGTTCGGGAAAGTGTACACCTTCCGAAAAAATAGAGAGTTCAACCAACCCGACATTTTATTTTCTTGTCGTTCTCTAAAAAAACTAAGAAACTTTAAGTGCTGCTGCTGATCAAGAGTTATTGTATTTCTTTGTTGTTTCTACGAACCTCTACTAACTAGTATGATATGATCTTCGCAAAAAAGTCAAAGTATGACCGCAATGAATTAGAACTACAGGCCATGGTGGGAGAGCATGGTGGACTAGATGAAATACGAACGGGTATAAAAATAGACTTACTTCTTACGATTTTGCATCAGGTGGATTTACTCTAGTAATTACTGGTTACTTTTTGAATTTACTCTCGTACCCCGACTATCATTGAGATACGAAATTCTTTAATTTATCTACTGTATTTCTTACGCGACAGGAGGAGTAGCGGATATCACGCTTAGACTAGCGATGGGCACCAGGATATCAGACCAGGGAAACCGGCAAAAGACAAAAAGAGCGGAGGGAACGCGAATGGGTGGGTGACAGATAATTTGTTTGCCTGAAATGAGATGTTGTACAGTGAAAAAGCATTTCGCAGCTACTTTGTGCGCTTATAACTTCAGCTGCATAGAAGAAATTAATAATAAAACACAGTACAAAGAACTTGAACTGGTTATGAACGAGCAACAAGAGCGGAGGAACCTCCACAGGAGTTTGTTATACTAGGAGGTGGATTTTCGTTTTCGTTTCCGTTTTCCTCGTTTTCTGATTTTCAGCTCAATGCCGTCTGGTCGTGTTGAATACATGAATGAACCAGAAGAATCGCAAAAGGGAACAACTCGACCTCGAATAAGAAGCTACATTAGAGGATTTTCATTCATTAGGGATTGGACTTGGAAACTTCTTTGTGAGCTATGAGAGTCTGCGCATTCTTGACCAGATGCATTCATGTTGCGTCTTATCATTTCTAGACGATCTTCATGTTCACCTGATTCTGTTGACGTAGTGTAAGCACAAGAAGTAGAGACCTCCCGCACTCTTCAAGAAGAACAACGGTTATTGTTCTCGTGGTCCTCTTGCACCCCAATAACCCTTGTCCGCCTCCATTACCTCTTGTCGCGTCCTCTTGCCTTTATACCGGTTCATCTCCTTCCGTCGATTCGGCGTTCTCTGGGTCGCTCCATGATTAGAAGACGTACTAGAAGAATGGATGCTTGTAGTTATCATCTGGGTAGGGAGGAAGGCGGGACGAGGAAGGACATACGACAGCACTTTGTTCTTTCTAGTAAGTAAGTGTGGATTGCTGATGCATTCGTAGGCAGTAATTACAAGATATAATCAATGTTGACCACACGACTTTGGTCGAAAGTGAAACTAAGTGTAGCTTCTCATGATCAGTTTTTTCGTTGAGAAAACAAAGCATGGCATTGATTTTTGTATTGAGCAAAGTTTGATGAGTTTCCACTATCCTTGCAGCATAATGTGAGGTCCGTCTAATGCTGCGCGCTCGATGTTGTCCTCGTAGTTGGCTTTTTCTCGTTCCGCTCTCTCCTTCCCTTCACCAGTGCTCATTGCGTCTTGTGCTTGATTTAGAATGTGTTTTATCGCTTCTACTTGCTCTAGTTTTTAGAGGGAAACGACCATGATCAGGAAAAATGAAAAATATATCATAGTATAACATCAAATCTGTCCAAGCCAGCACTACCCGAAACACCCGGTTCATGTTCAGCATAATTTCTCATGTTCAGCACGTGCTGTTCGCCCTCTCCGTCTGCCTGCACGAGCTAGATTTTCTGTCGATCGGCCTTCTTCACCACCTAGAAGGTCGGATATTTGTTTACCTTCTTCTCCTGTTAGAAGCCGTTTCTCTAACATGGAGTTTGGCGCTACATACGTGTGCAAGTCTTCCCACGTCTCGAGACCAGTAGAGTCGGATGGGTTAGAAGAAGTGCAAGTGCTGTCGTGGTGATGTAGTCTAGTTTTGAAAAGACTTTTGATTTTCACTACAAGGTCGAATGAATCGAATTTTATATCCATATCGGAGGAGAGAAATCCCCACGAAATTCTTAACTCAAGTACTTAAGGACCTATCAAGTATCCAGCTTCCTTTGTCAATCAGAATCTCTAGCGATCGTCATGGAAGATAAAGTTTCGTCGACTATCTTCTTCATGAGAAAACGCAAGATCTCCTCTTAGCTTTCTTTTCACTATCGACCCTTTTGGCAGCAGGTTGGTCTATCCTCGATTCCCCATGTGAAACCGATTGTTTCTTTTCTGTTTGGTCTGCCCTCTCACCGCTTGGTGGCGGCACGTCAAGTGACCGTGGGGGCGCAGGTATTGTCGTATCACTCGATCCCGCTTGCTTATCGTGGTTCGTTACAGAAGAAGTAGCTGCTGGAGAAGTCGGAGGTTGCTTAGATTGATAGCTGCGGGAAAAAAATTGCATTACCAAAGCAAGATCAACTTGACTAGCACTAGGTAGACGGAAATCAAATTTATCTTAATCTTTGAAGTCACAATTTACTGGGACAATCATCACAGAGATTGATTCTTGGTACTAGTCCAGATCTTACAAACTAATGGGCATTTTCATCATTCTCATTGCCTTAACAGTTTGTGGTCCTTTCTTCGCTTCTCGCACTTCCATCATATGTCGCAGCAAAGACGCTGCTGCGGATTGCTGCGCCGCCGCTGTCTGAACTCCAAGACCTTCGGAATTAGAAAGAGTCAAATGCGTATCTTTACAAGAAGCTTTGAAGCGGAGTAGAGAACAGTGCAAATCTTTACAATATTTAATCTAGCTTCTCTCCTTAGGGGTACGACCGTTGAAGGACTCCTCTCCCACTACACGAAAGTAACAAAGTAGGCGCATGATAGTGAGCCCTCACAGTAGATTTGTGGCGGAGCCGACCTAGCTAGAAAAAAGAAAGCCCAGAGGAAGATAGAAAAGAGAAAAGGGTAATTATCGTCAGGTATCCTCCTATCTGCTAAAACTAATTAAGCGCCGGCGCTATCGTCGTCCTGTCCACGACCTTACCACCTTTGCCTTAACAAGAGCAAAGGTGGTAATATATTTATATGTGGTGGAATATATGTGGTGGAGCAAACCTACCTAGGGAAGTTAGAAAAAAGGAAGCGGTGTATATATTTCACCACGACCACCAGCCTTAACAAGAGCAACGGTGGAAACCGAGGACCAAGAGGGCGCTCCAGGATTGTTCACTGCATCGCCAAGGTAAGACTCGGCTGTAATCTCCGCTTGATCCAATAGGGGCTTTGTGAAGCACTTCTGCACAACTGGTTCGTAATTGTGGCTTGTCATTAGAGGTGTTGTTGTTGAACAAGAGAGAGGGGGTTCTTCTTGCGTCGATGAATATATATAGATTAGTACTTTTACGTACAACGATGATCATAGTTATCTTGTGCTTGTGGTCGGTCGTGGAAAAAAAAATGAATCAACGTGTCTGTGAACCAGAACTCGTCAATCTGAATCATCGTCTGGTGTTGCACACTATCTTCACAAAAGTCCTCCAAGCCTTAATGTCAGATCACACTCGAATGCTCGCCAAGCCGACTCACACCGCAAAGTACCAGGTGGACATTCATATTGTCGAGAATCTTCCGGCTTTTTGTAGTAGAACCTGACGTGGGAGAAGTCAAAATAAAAATTGATCGTCTTCGTGGTACAAGAAGCTGATATTAGAAACAAGTCGAAATTCATTAGTTTTCAAGCAATAAAAAGTATCTATATCTTCATCTTTATGAAATCCGCTTTGATATGATGAACGTACTCAGATTTTGGAAATCGATACCCTCTAGCCGAAATCGGCACGCATTCTCCTGTTCCTGGACTTCCTCTTGTAGTGCCAGCATTCGCAGCCCAGAAGTTTTGCGTGACTTAGACTGGCTTGGATGGTCCTAGAGTATTTGAAACTCACATCGCAAGCACCAGCCTGCAGTTGACTTTATGAACATTTTCATCAATGAACAACAAAAAAATGCACCTTCAGACGACAATCGATTCTGATCGCCAGGATAAACTATAATATAAATACTTAGTTTAGAACTAGATAAGTAAGTACAAGTGCCAGTTGAAACACATCCCTTAACTCAAGTACGATTCTGCGTCGCATGAGGTACAAGTGATGGCGCTCCAACTCCTACATGTCTTACACGTGTGGTGGCACAACCCGCATCCACCAAAATCTATCTGCGCTTCTCATCTTAGAGGAAATCGCTGGTACTACCAGAAAAATGCAAACACTTGATCTACGAAGAAATCTTCATGATTTCTGCAAGTAATAAACGTATGCAGCAGTGGTAGTAAGCTAGTCCCCATAAGCTCCTGCCTTCTCCGAAATTCGGATAGATAGCGAGCTCTTGTGTCTGGTAGTCTTCCAGTGCTGGGTAATACCCATCGGCGCATCTTTTCACGCATAGATTTCGCGCATCAAATTCATGTGTTGGTGCACATTGAATGCACTCGTGAGGATGCGGACCAGTACATCGGAGACAATTTTTGGTGCATTTCTGGCATTCGTAGCCGTAACGGAATTGCCTGATGAGGAGAATGGGTATAATTGAAGATTGATCTGATGTGGCCCTGTCTGATGCGTCGCAGCCCTGCCACTGCTATGAATTAGGGGACTTGTACGTGGGTCAGAAAGTAGTTGTTCATACACTGGGAGATAGGAAAAATTGCCAACAGGAGACAAAAAGGATGAATACCCAGTCGGACAGGGCACGAAGCAACGGTCAAACCAGAGTTCGTAGCCCGCTCGACATTGCATGCAGTGCCAGTCTTAGAGGGCGCGACAGATGAAATAGACGTCTCATTCGTTCGTTTCCAATGCTGGAAACGGACGAACATGAAAATTGACACTCCCTTGTCGTCTCATTCGTTCGTTTCCAACGCTGGAAACGGAAGCAACAGATTCATTGTAGTTGTACACAGCAATCTTTTTTTTTTGGGATTTGGAGATTTCAGAAAAAAAATTTCTGGCCACCAGTAGGGGCACAGTACGTTTCACACTCAACAAACAGGAGGGAGACAGCATGAAGGACTCACCACACAGAATCAATCTTAACATCCCGTCTGACACGGTATTTTCCTTTCGGGATCGCAACCGCTGACTTCGTGTGCAAATACGCGACACCTTGCGCAGTTCGCATCGCACTTCTGAATAGCGGCGACCCTGTCCACAAAGGGGAGGAGTATCAGAAATCGCGAAAGAAGAAACCGCATATTTTTGTTTACTTAATCACTCAGATACTTATGTTTTCAGGTGGAAACATAACATGGGATTAAATCCGAAGGGTGCAAGCACGTGACGGCTCTCTAGGTGTCTCCTGTGGATCCGTACGATCACTTTCCTTTACTTCGTGTTGTGATACTAGTACCTAAGTACTGTTTCGTGGTTGATAACTGCACATCTTCAGGTCCTCGTGGGTGGTGAACAATACTAGATTTTTTCTGTTTTCAGATGATGTATTTTTCCTCAGACAGATAAGTAGATTGATACTCCACAGAAAAGACTACAGAGTGCATCAGGTGGAAAGCAGCCTCTCCTTCACCAAGGTATCCTCTTTGTTTAACATCGCCTTTTCTATCTAAACACTTCGTGGACTCACCTCAGCGCTCTGACTGCCTACACTCGCTTCCTCTGGGCATCTCGCTCAATCGTAGCCTGTTTCTCATCCTCCTACGAGACTGGTAGGTGACCAAGGCGGTGAAAGCTTTGGCAGACCTCGTCTTCCATCCTTGAATGTAGACTCCATGTGAGTGTGCAATCCTCAAAAAGTGAAAAACCGGTCACATGATAGACAGCGTTTATCCGAGTTGTTATCATCATGTCATGCCGTGTGCGCGTCATTAGATGTCCGTTGACAACCTCATTCTCATTAGATGTCTGTGTCAATATCGTCGAATGTGCGAGTCATTGTTCATATCTTTGTGGAGTCAAATTTACACTCTTCATCGTTCACTTGTAAATCCAAAAAACTTTCCCAGGAAAGACCTCTAATTCTCAACTCAAGTTTGGAATGATTCATTTGGAAACAGAGAAAAGTGCTAAAAAAAACGCAAACTTTGCCAAAGACTGTTGTGTCAATACAGAAAAAAAAAGCATCGGCAACAAATCTTGACTAAAAACTCTCTATGTATTTACCCCACGTCTTCTTGCCAGCGCAATCTTCTGACTGACCGCCTGCAACAAGTCGTCCGACAGAGGCAGGATCTGCAATCGCTCCATGCTCTTCAATAGGTTTCGATATGGTATGATCGGAAGCCTCGAAGGCGATGATGAAGTTGTACTGCTGGAATCAAACTGCAAAAGCCGTTTCGACAGTAAGTCGATTAATCCATGTGCAGCGTGAAGTTCTAGAGGAGGGGTCTGCTTCTTGTTCGTGTAGCTCTTGTCGTTATCTTCTTGTGTTGGCTGTTGATGTTGCCCAAGTCCATCGGCAAGCTTGCACAACTCCAGAAACGTCAGCTCTTGGAACGTGTAGGAACAGTACGGAGTTGAGCTCGGCGTTGAACTTGAGGTAGACCGCTTGCTCAATTTCTTAGAGATGCGGGTTAGCTTAGGTTGTGAATCCTGCACATCGAGCCCCCGGGTACGGGTACCTGGCTATAGCAAAATTATAATATGCAAAATGTAAATGATTCACAGGCAACGAGTATCTTTATCTTTTGCTTTTCAAAGTTCTCTCAAAAGAGAAACGTGTCCTGACAGACTATTGATTGATAAGCACCGTAGTACAGAAGTATCAAGATCATGACGTCAGAGTCTTCGCAAGGCCTTAAGCATACTCGTCCTGCTTTTCCTCCTCTTTATACCTCCGTTACCGCCTCCATCTCCATGTCCATCTTCTCCAAGCGATTCTATTCCTTTCTCCATCACCTTCACACTTCCATCTACGAGATCTGCTGTTCCACCTTGCTGCTGTCCTCTGTAATATTCCGCTAGATTCCGTTTCACTGCGTCAAAGAAACAGTGCACATCCTCCTTGCCGCCAAGTGCAACTGACAGGTTCGCAATCTCGCTTCCGCGAGTGTCCATGAAGCGCTTCGTTGCAAGCTGTGCAAGTGACGCCCACACAGCGTGGCTTGTACTTCGGGGATAGAAGTTAGAGGGGATGGGCTGAAGGTGAAAAATAAACAGGAAAGTAGTAGAAGGTGACGCGGGGAGCATGACTATGATGTTGATGTTATTGTACAGTAGAATGAAGAGTGTTTTTAATGGCTTGTGCTTGGGTAGTTGCTTGTGGAGAAAATGAAGACAGTGTAGGTCTAATAGCCAGGTCGAATGGCTCATGTGTTTTTACTGTTGAGGAATGCAAGATGATAACGCGTCTTAAGTTCTCCCCCGCTTGATGACTGGCCTTTGTGCAGACAGTAGGCCAACGTGGCGATTGACAGTGGTGACATCTTGCTTGCGCTGGTAGCTTGTAGTTCGGTCTCGTCACAAGAACTTAGAGAAACGTAGAAGTATACTGAGTAATGCCGCTGATATTCTTGTCCTTCACGTAGGTATGCAACTAATGACGAATAGTTGTACCACTTCGCTGCAAGAACGTCAGTTCAGGGGAAAATAGGATCACTGTGTGTGTGTGTGTGCCTCCATAACATCTTTGCAATCCTGTCAGCAAAGCAGCTCATCAACTGCTGTCTCGTTGCGTCATCGTCGTCTGCTGTCTTGGTATAGCATTGCAGCAGCAAGCAGAGTGACTGTGGACTCTCTATTTGAGCGATTTCAGCTGATAAGCTTGCCCACAAAAGATGCAATAGAGGATCTCTTGACAGTTTCAACTTGCCGTAGGCATGCGGGAGTTAGAGGATTCGATTTATGTAGCTTCATAGCGTAGTGCGTGCAAGATCATCATGGATTGAGAGGAAGAATGCGCTCGTGCTTGTGACAAGTTATTCTAAAAAAATCACGCCTACGCCCACCTTCTCGGAATAGTACCTACGATTTTGGCATCAATCACCTTCACACTCACCATTACAGCTTCACCGTTAGGCATAAAAAAGCATTGTCAGTTGCCGAATCCGCGTAGGACTACTACCGTGAGCAGTGTTTGTCGAATCCAAAACTTGTGGAACTTCCTGTGAGATGATATCGAATAGGCGTTGGTGATGTATTCCAACTTGCGCGAAGGCGTTGGCGCAAACAGCGAGGTTGCGCAGACTCCAACATGGTGCTCTACCTCCTACATGGTCTTGTTGACAGGTGCGGCGTTGCAGCGCTGACCCTTTCTTATTTTGGTGTCGCTTTTTAGAAGTGTTGAGATGGAGTCTAGACATGCTGGCGGAATCAATTACAAAAAAGCTGATGCACTGCTTTCTCAAACTAGTAATCGCGGTGAAGGATAGGAGGTGCCTAAACGATCGAAGAGCTACTCTATCTTACCCCACGAAATCAAATTATATGCTTCTAGACGATATTACGGAATGTGAGCACCTAGATCATAAGTTTCCTTCCACCAGACGAAGCTGAACTGCCAACTACCTTTGCTGAGTTCATCTGCTTCATTCGCATCAATTCGTGCTGCTGTGTCGTTGTCGTGACTAAATGCGACGCCACTTCCGAAAACAACGCTCTGATTAAAAAGTATGCGGGCACATTGCCGCCGACGATCTCACGACTTTCTGACCACATCCTACTTGTCAACTGTAAGTAGGAAAAGCGGAACTAGGAATAGAACCTTTGAAAAGCCGTAACACTAAGATTCTCGCATATTTGCGCTCCTTTCTTCGGTCCTTATGGTGCTGCTCAGCTAGTTCTTCGGCAGAAAGTTCACAAAGCGCTAGCGCTTTTTCGATATCCAGGAATTTCGAGATCTGCGCATACGCTTTTCTTCGAAGACGAGTAAATATGCATCCTATAACACTGTAGAGTAAATGCCAAGCAGTGCTTATGCATCCTATAACATCACTGTAGAGTAAGTATAACACTGTAGCGTAATAAATAATGCCAAGTTGTAGAGTTCTTGGTCTAATTTCCTACTAGTGGAAATGAGAGACAGGAGACTGCAGGTAACGTGTTATGTGCCTCAATTTAGCGTGCGCTAGAATGCATCGCGGTCCCCTCATCTTGACCCCTTTTACCTTGTATTTCACGAGAATACAAGGGAAAAGGGGACCAAGATGCCGAGAATGATGGAAAAAAGCTGACCATAATCAATCGAGGAGATCAACAGCGAAAAATACTAAGTAATAGGCAAGAACAGCTCTACCTCAATCGAGGAGATCAACAGCGACAAATACTAATCGCCAAGCACAGCTCTTAAATTGAGAATTCCAACTAGCTGGTTCTGCGTGAAGTGAACTAGATCGCGGAGAACTAGGGGAACGAAAAAAATCAAACCCTCAACGAATGCACGCCGTTCGCCAGCAAAAATGAGTGGGGGTGTTGTTGTTGGACCTGCTGAACCTGAAGAACTGTTTACTGTGTCTGATGAAGATGCTTTCATCTCATGAAGATTCTTCTGTTCTTCGTGGCCTGCTTGATCTGCCCCTACATCTGCTTCTCGTACTTTTTTCTCATTTACGTCGTTACTACTGCTTAATAGAGTTGTACCCTGATCTTCGTCGAGAACGCCCTTCTCCTTCTCTTCAGCTTCCGCTGTTGTGCTACCACAAGAAGAATCAGAGGTTTCACTTTCACTTTCGCTTGTACTGGCTGGTTTAGTTGCACTAGTTTCCATAGAAGTTGTTGAAGTTGTGGTCACGCCTCTACTTTCCCTACCAACTTCTCCGGTTGCCCTGAAACTTGTCGAGCTAGTATTAGGCGCTCCGCGACTTCCACTTCCGCGCTGCCAAGGTTGCTCCAAAGATGGTTGCTGGAACAGTGCTTGTGTCCTTCCATATGCGTTCACTGCGAAGAACACATCAGACGGCTTCACATCATCTAGACCTCGCAGATGACTTCGTCGACAGAGGGCCATATACTCCTGTATCTTGTCAAATACAGACCGCAAAAGGTCTCGACAGGCAACTCCGACTGGTGTTTTCGATGGACTTCGTCTATTCGTTTTGCCTCGTGGGATATAACTGGTCCGAGAATCCTCGCTTGTTGTACGTGTACCGGATGATGTGGCAGGACTACCATCTGCCAGTGGACCAGTGATCAGATCGGATAAGTGATTGGCAAGCTCAAGGGCTAATTTGAAGTTCTGGCCTACAAAATCCTTTCGACACACTTCGTGCTGTGCCTTTTTACACACCTGCAGAAGCATAGGGCCTCCACGAAGAACTATACTTTGTTGTGGTGAGGATGAGGATGACACTCCTCCTCGTCCTTCTCGACCGAAATAAATATGCTTTGATGATATTGATGCTGGTGTTCCTTGGATTTCACGTCGTTCGTCATCGGTTGATCGCACAACAACCTTTGAAGACGGCACTCCACCTCCTGTTTTTCCGTCCTCGCCTTCCATACAATTTGACGCGGAGGCAGATATCGTGTCGTTCGCTTTCGCGATATTTCTGCCTTCGGGCTCAGCCTTATCTTCAACAACACTACCGCTCTCTTCCGCAAGAAATGTCAGCTTATCCTGCGGCACCAGCAGATAATTTTGAAAGTGGCTTATCGCATGAAAAGTGTAGACTAGAGCATACGGGGAAATGCGTTCTGGTCTCAGGCTTGGGTCTAAACGTTTCGCGCGTCTCAACAACACGCGTCTTTGTAGTATCCGTGATGTGCCACCGCCACCACCCAATTCGTAAACGGCCTTCCACGCCAAGGCTTCGACAGCCAAAAACTCTTTTCTAGAAAGCAATACTTGTGGCTCGTCGACGCAGACTGTCTTCGTTGTAGTGGAAGGGGTAGTTCTTCGTATCTGATTTACGACTTCTGGTTTCCGATTCGCAGTCGCGATAGACGAAGAACAAGCCGCTATTGCAGCTTCACCTCGTCTGATCTCCGCATCGTTTTGAGCAAAACTCGTCCACCTGCTGCTCGTACCTCCATTTATGACATTTTCGTCGCGAATGGCTTCACGGCCTCTTGTTCCTCCATCTGCATGACCAGCAAACGGCTCCAATCTCTTCGACGCAACACCAACTCCCACTGCCATAACTTCTGGTCCATCGGACATGGAGGCTTCCACTTTCCTCACAACCCCTCCTCCAGGAACAAGGAAACAGTCAGATTTGATCACCGTCTTCAGTGCAATAGCGCATTCCAGGCTACTTCTGGCCTGCTCACGTGCCACGTTTACCATGTCCAACCATAGATTTCGATCTCGTAGACGCCAAGAAGCTTCGTCATTGGACGCATCGGCTGCTGCTTCTGGTGCATCAGCGACGTCGAAGACACTTCTATTTGTGCCAGCATGTGAACTGCTTTCAGCAGGGTGTTAGAAGTTCGATCGTTTCATCGCGTTGACCCATTTCAAAGTAAGAAAGCGAATATGCGTGAGAGAGTGATGATCTAACTCCAAGAAAAAGACGATATGACACGCCATAAGAAGACATACCCGAAGGGAAAGAAGATTCTGAAACATGATTTTTGGATGACGACATCAACTTCAGCTCGACACATGCTCTCAGCATCAGCTTGAGGATTTGCCGGTTCTCGCTCGTATTGTATCGACGGTACAGTTTAGAATTATGAGTGTTTTCGACATGATGTAGAAAATTTAGATTTCGTTGCTTTCTAATTTTATTGATGTTGGCATTGATTTAGAAAATTTAGATTTCTAAACTGGTTCTAATCATGTAGTGTCAAGAATCATAGTCTCCGACTCCGGGTTGATCTCGAATGAAACGGTGAAATATTGTGAAACTTCAAACATAATCCAATCATCTAATATCTTTACAAGAACCTGAAAAAAATCTAAATCTATTCCCACTTAATACCAAATACAACAGTGATGAATATCTGAGACAAAAGGCATGATCTTCTAAAGGCAAAAAAAAGCGCCTCTCTTTCGGCTCGTCATAAGCATCTTCACAAACGGATTCCGCCGTGCAGCCTTGTGTTCAGGATACTGCTCGCTCTGCCACTCTTTGAATGCGTGGAGCATATCAAACGGAACGGTGCCAAGAGACGCCACGTGACTCTTCCTTTCGTCGCCTGTTCGCGGCTGATGCAACATGCCGAACTCCGATCGCGTGTTGAAAGCCTCACGTTCGGCACGCCGGAGACGACCGGGAAATGAAAGAGTGGAGATATTACATCGCAGCCTTTGTGGATCGGAGCTGTTGTGTGAATCGAAAGGAAGTGATTTGAGCTCTGTTCCGCTTTTTCTTTTTGAAATCCAAATTGTAAGGTAGGCCCAAATAAGTCTAAACTTTCTAACTCTGAAAAGTCTTTCGATCCTAAAGGAAGTGTCTCCGGTGCCTAAAGAAGTCATAATCTTTAGAGTGTTAGATTTGCAAGACAGTTCTTTTCGAAAAAATCTAAATAAATAATGTCACGAGTTATTGTCGTAACTTGGGTCCACGTGTCGGAAATTGTGGTAAACCAACGCCTGGTCCTACTCCGGTGGCCCTGGTGGCCTGTCTTGGCCTGACGGTTCTGGCCGAGGTAGACAGCATGCGTGCCCCCATGTAATATGGAGAAACATGGCCGCGCAGAGGTAGCATCTTGCCCTTGCGGCTCGGTGTCGAGTATGTCGAACATGGCAAGGCAGGATGAAGCATCATGATGATGGTCTGTTGTCATTTCCAACAAGTGACAGCAAGTGTAATTACTTACGTGTTATCGAGTGTAAAAACAAACATCTGAAGAAAAGAACAAAGAGAAAGACGCATGGTTGTTTTTGTCATATACAAGAACTAATTACTTACGTGTTATGGTGATCTTACATATGCGTCGCGGTCAAGAACAGGTCGAACCCTCCATTGCAGATGAGTCGAACCCTCATTTTTCCTCAAAAGGTCAAGAACAGGTCGAACCCTCCATTGCAGATGAGTGTATCGATCCACAATTTTCTGCGTTAGGTTGGGGAGCCACCTACGAGTTGCATGATCTTACCAGCAAGGATCTGAATCCACCGTGCTCAAGAAAATCTGGATTAGAAATGAATCAAGACCCCGGATCCATGATGTCCTCCTTCAATGACATTCCGTCCATGGAATACCAAGTGAAGAAAATGATAGACCGCGTTCCCTTGCACAGCAGCTTTTGTGATAAGATCGGCGTCGAAAACCGATATTTATCATAATCATGAGGGAGACGGCAACATCAGTTACTTTTCTTAGGATAGGCGGTTAGATACATATACATATCCTCAGAAATAGCAACTGTAGGGGGACTTTTCCGGATTCTTCTACTGGAACTCCTACTATCTTGTGCTTTCTCGAATCCTGAGAATGAACATATTTCATCTGCTTCTACTCTCCACAACCAAGAATTCGGGAGGATCCGCAAAAGCCATTTAAGAAGAGCCCAGCATGCCTAACAAAGTATGAGTTAGCAGAACTGTTAAAATTCCGCCATAATTCTCCAAGTTCGAGTACCCGCTTAAAGCCGGTTTACCATTCGGATTCGCAAGTACCCCTGATGATGAAGAGGAGGAGGTTGGACCGACATTGAGCCCAAAATACAGGAAAACTCCGTTTCCGCTGGGAGCGTAGAGTCCGCCGAGAAGGTGGAACACGATTAAGAAAGAGCCGTGTACGTACGCCACTACGGAAATCATACCGTCGTGCGGATCCCTGCCCCAAAAGTAGGGCCGTCCGACAATGGCAGCACGATTCGAAGAGCTGCTCATCTTGGTGTTTTCTGCTCTTCCGTGCAGACAATACTAGCAGAGAAGAAGAGAGGATGACAGGATAAACAGCAAACTCAAGTATATCCAACACGAAGAAAGAATAGAAGTGGGAAGCACTAGAAGTGAAGAGAGAGTGGGAATTGGGAATGAAACAACCATAAGAGCTGGAAAAAAACATAGGATACCGCCATGAAATAAATCGTAAACTTTCATACATACCAAATTCAAAAGATTTTCACCTACGCAGTCTCGGAACACACTCGGACAGAGCAACCTCACACAGATTTTCTCAGATGTAACAAGATGTGGCCACCTTTCAAACAGAAAAACCACCCTCTCCTCATGACAGATCTTTGCTCATTTTCATTGTGCTTGTGTGAGATTAGGGATGATGATCAGGTAATAGCTCATCTGTCTATAAGTCTACTTTGCCGTCTGACAGATTCATCTAGTAACGCCTGATAGGCGAGGTTTTTCCTAATTCTAAGGCTCTCAGCAGACAGATAATCACTTACTTCACCTTTAGCGTAGCTTTCAAGGGTGAGCCGCCCAGTGCTAGACTTATGCTGGAAGATTGAATTAGATTTACTGGATAAAATTGCTACTTGCGTCATGTTGAAAGTCCTCATCTTAAGGATCCGAAAAAAATCGCATTCAGATCGTCGCTAAAACAAAGTCACATGAAGTAAAGTTTAGTCTTACTTCTGTCTGAAGCCGTTTCTGCGGAGAAGGCCAAATTTGAAAGAGACACTTACGCACATCTCCTGCAATCTCCGTTTTACATGCTTTGTGTCTACTAGTACTCCTTAGCACATTTATTGAAGGACTTACACTTAGGATGGAAGACGGACCGTCACGACAAAGACATCTTAACACAGACAGACTTAACCCGTTCAACAAAGCCTCTCGTCCTCTCCTCATTCCTCTTACCTTGACGTCACTACGTTGTGCCAAAAGAAAACTACTACAAGCGAACGCTGCTCGTCGTTGCTGTGATGCAGTGAGAGTGACGGGAACAATGCCACTTAACAGCGCGTGGGCGTGAAGATGAGAAAGAAAAAGATTCTCCAATGAAGTCCTGTAGTTCGTTAGGCAAAGGCTGGCGCCCGCTTGAAGCGTCGAAGTCGAAGACCCTCCATTCACTGGTCTTTTTTCAACGCGGTCTTGATCTATCCCTCCAATAATATTATGAAGATAGGCTATTGCTTGTAAACTGCGCCACAGAAATTCCGGATGCTCTCGCAGTGGTACTGCGTTTTTTGTGCTGCTTCCCTTAGGCTTAGTTGTACTTTTGGCAAGGCCTTGCGGAGTAGATTGATCGTCTTCGATCCAAGCAGAGGCACTCTGCTCTGCCTTTTTCGAGAGCTGCTCTTCGCAAGAAAGAGGACTACTCCCTTGTTGTACGTGTATTCGCACATCTTCGGCATTTGTTTTCGGCAGCTTCTGCTTCTGCTGCGGACATGCCTGCAGAAGCATCTTCTTTCGACATCTCCTATTGCTGCCTGGTTGACTTTGCAGCATCTTAATACGCTGACGCATGACATTTTCCAAAACATGTAGTAGTGGTTCAGCACGTTCGACTTCATCCAACGCGACTAGGGCGTTCACGAATCTTCCCAGTAACCAAAAGTCGCACTCCTCCATCGAAAGATGAGAAAATACGTCCTCCCACACACTCGCTGTTGGCTGATGCAGACCACGCCCAGAAACCTCAAGGGCCTGCACATAATCACGAGTTGTCCATTTTTCGTCCGTACAACTATGCTGTACAACTTGTGCTGTCGTTCTTGTCGATCTACCAGGTGGAGTTGCTTGTCCCCGAAGCTTTTTTGAGTATACGCGCCACAATTTATTCAGCCAGTTTTTGTCTTTGTCTGTCGTTGAAGATGTCCTGCTTCTGGAAGATGATGGCGCAACTGATGTTGTTGAGTTCATTGTATTCGTTGAGCGTGTTCCGTTCGTATTCGTTGAGTTAGGCTTGACTACATTCGACAGTTCACTAAAATCTTGTTTCCAGCTTCTATCAAACGCGTACGCCAAATCTTCCAAGTCAGCCAGTCCCTCTAAACTTGCCAGCAACAACTTCTTTCGCATTTTGCCAACACCCGCAAGTTGGATTAGCAGTTCTCGGGATGGCTCTCTCAGTATATTACAAGAAGTCTGCAAGGCCGCCAGCCACTGTTGCGTTTTCTTCTGGTACGTAACGTAACCAGTTTCGGGACAAGTGGAGGCAAAGCGACGAATAGATACACGATCAAGTAGAAAGGATCGCAGACTGGTGCAGAGCAGAGAAAGATCGTCGAAGGACTTCGTGGTCGACGAAGGACGCTGTGCCTCTTGTAGCGATTCTTTATCCTTCATCTTGACGAAACTTTTACCATCATTTTCCGCTCCACTTATCGCCTTCCGAATTTCGACCAGCGCTCGTAGTAAAAACGACGCCTGGGAAAGAAAATCCTCAGTGAGCATTTCTGTTGACTCGAAACGCTGGTCCCAACATTGTCCAACTGAGCCTCTCAGGGCCTTCGCAAATTCTGCCACATTATCTCTTGCTACAAGATTTTTTCGTCCTTCCGCGGAAAAAGCGGCAGCAAATACTGTTGCGCACGTTTCTAAGGATCGGAGGTCCCCACTTCGCGCCATATCAAGGACACCCGCGGAGCCTGCTAACCGACAAGCCAAGCTGTGCCATTCTAGTGAGTGTAAAGATCGCAAGAGAACGCAGATAGTTTGGTGGCTAGTGCTTGATGCTTGACATGACTTCTTCGAGTACGGGGGCGAGTCTGTTCTTATAGGCTCCTTCGCATTTCGTTGTTGCAGATAGGTTGCAACTTCATCTGTACTACAACTACCGAAGCTTTGTGCACAGCCTTTAGCCGTGTCGCTCTCTTCAACAGCAGCCTCTTCTATACCTTTCTCCGCTGAGCAAGAATCTTTACTGAGTCTTCTGCTCACTGAGCAAGAATCCCCTCTGTGGTTTCTGCTCTCTGCGGCTTCCTCTAAATTCGAAGCTTCAAGTGAAGAAAACCGCGACGCATAGTAGTATAGAAGAGGCTCTACGTCGGGTCTCGCAGCCGCAAGCGCACGCTTCACTGAGCCAAAGTGTGGCCCTATATTCTTCTGGCCCGTGAAATACCCACAAGACGTTAGAATCATCGATACAGCTTGCGCACTTGGTGGCACTGGAAATGAGTCATCAATCGTTTTCACAGCAGGTGGCACATCTTCCACCGTGTCTCTTCTTTGCTTGTTCGCCATTCTACTACCGTCCGAGAGCATCGCCATCTTTATCGCTGATACTCTTTCATCTGCAGCAGCAGCGTTCTGGGAAGGCTCTTTTTCAGGCTGCCCTACCATTAAGGGACCATCCATGTGACTCCGTAAAGACGTTTCGTTCTCTAGTTCGTAAAGGTTTCGACACTGTTGCGCCTGTTTTCGCAAGTATCGAATTGCTTGCTTCATTATTTTCGTAGCAGCTTTTCCACGTTCGTCTTCGCGTGAAGTTCTTCTTTCACGGATTTGTGGACTGACTTGCACATGACTCCCTGAGGACGAACCAAACTCAAGGGGCATATCTCCCGTTGTTGACGCCATTTTGCTTTCATCTCGAGCAGTACTCGTGGCTCCTTCATCATCCTGAGCCACTGCCTCTCCACCAAATAAGTTCTGATGCGTTCTTCCTTCTTCATCTTCGCCAGGCATCGCAGTTGGCTTCTCCCACTCAACATCAACAGTCCTCTTGTCATCGTGACAAAGTGCCGCAAGTACGCGTGCTAAAGGGCGCGCTGTTGTGGGTGATGTGAGGCCATTCTCAACTGCTGAACAAAAATGCTCTGTATAGGAACCTCCTGAGAGCGGAAAGCAGTCGAAAAAACACAGCACCCTCGCCAAAGATTCTGCGCTCATGCCAGAGAAATTTCGGCCGAGCAAAGCCCGCGCTCGTCGGAGATGACTACTTGTCTTATGTCCAGCTTTGTGGTCCTGTGTCTGATATTCATGTCCATGGCGTCCATCATGGACTCCTAGTCCTCCTTCTGGAGGTGATGTAAGGTTATAGAGACTACAGTAAAAGTAGTAGAGTTGAAGCACTTCCATTCTCAGTCATTGTATTGGACACTCAAGATGAACCTCCTAGAAGTCGACTTCTCAAAAGATAGATTAAAGACAAGAGAGGAGACTACAAAACAGAAGAGATCACTTCTATTAGATATGATTTCTTTGACTTTGAGTATAATATTGATACTCTATGTTGGCAACTAAAAGCTAAAACTCCGACTCTTTTCATAAATGATTGCGCTTTTGCATAAGAGCAGCGCCGCAGCGCATTTCTCTCCTGACACCGCTTCTTGCGACGCATACTGAAGGACTCTGGGAACTAATATCTGTTCGAGCTGTCCCAATGCTAATCCCACACCATCAGGATCCGCTTGTCGCGCTACACGCGCTGCGCGAAGGACTGCGCCATAGTCTTGGAAGGAACTCGTGATGTGAATGAAGACAGGGCAAAGCATGATGCCGAATGATACATTATGCGTATCAAGACAAGGCGAAGCGTGTCCACGTGCTCAAGAACTCATGCGTAAATCGTGGAAGGAGAAATCAGACAACGGATATCAATAAGCTGCTAGTAATCTACTTATCAGATTATTTTAGACCACAAGGTGCTGACTTTTTCTTTCTTAGTAAGCGTCTACGTCGTATTAGTAATATGAGGAAGAGGAGGCACTAAGTACATCAGCATCACTTTTCCACGTCGTAAAATCAACTATATTAGTTCCAGTATAATTTTTGCGCATCTGTTCCACCACTTGGCGCCACACCGGTTCCCAGTATCTCATCAAATGTTCTTGAGGGTCTTTGCCATCTGAGGTTACTTCTGCAGTGCGCGACATCTTCTGTTAGATAGAGCGGCTCCCTTCGCAGTCGCATCCTTGCAGAAGACGCGTGTTCTTCAGACGTTCCCTCTTGTGTCCTATTCTAAAGGAGAACGGAAATCCCTCACTCCATTTATCTATCCTAGAGGAGAACGAATGTCCCAGCGCTATCCCTTTTTCTCTTCAACTTTGGTACTGCCCTTAACTCTCCATCCTCTTCGCAACCGCCCACGCAAGACGCGACAGGGCTCTTCCATTTTGGTTCGAAGCCCAAAGTGCGCGGTGTGCTTCCATTGCAATTTCAGCCTCCTGCCGTTCTGCAACTTCGGAGTCTGAGGCCCCTTTCGTGTTGTGAACCGTAGCAGTGCTGGTGGCTGAAGACATAATTCGGGCAAGAAGTGCGGGAAGGTCTATTGCCACCTTCTTGGTAGTGCTCCTTGCTACCCGCGCTGCGCTCCTCCCCTCCATGTTCATGGAGTATCTTTTTGCTGCTTGCATTTTGTTTCCTTGTTAGCTTATGAGGAGAGTAGCTCCATGTCGTGCATGTTAACATAATGAAGTGGTCATAAATGGCACCAAAATCGATTACCCCCGTCTCGTTCTTGATTAGGAGACGCGCGTACTCGGTCACTGTTTCACTCGTGCACTTGCGAAAAATGGACGCTCTTCGAGCAGGCTTATGCATCTGTGAGGAGGTGGAGGATGATCACTTTCACTCGACCCTCGACATTCTCAACGTGACATTCTCAACTACGTGCAATCATAATCCTTACCCTCCATCTAAGTGTACAATCATAATCTTGCTCCATGTTACCGTAGTTATCCTAAGTCCTACGCCCAACCCCAGATATACTGTAACTCTAAGTGTATAAGAAAACCTGATATAAAGTAGTGGGTTGTTCCTCTCCTCTTCCGGAAGGATCGATTGGTGTTGTAGCTGCCCACTACTGTACTATAGCCTCAACAGCTTTCTGACCATCCGCCATTAAGTTTCGTACTGTCTGAGAGTGTCGTTGAAAAATGGATTTTGAGTGAGTCACTTCTCGTACTACTCCTAACAAGTACTCTGAGGGTGTTCTTGAAAAATGGATTGTTCTCCACTAGTGCTAGCACTGCTCCCAACTAGAACTACTCAAGAGGACCAAGATGAAGCGTAATTATGTCAACGAAGATCTTCGTCTTCCTGCACCTGCAGCATAAAAATGGCGTACCAGTATGAGCCACTAGCACAGCACCGCCTAGTACTGCAACTGTCTCAATTGTTGCGGCCAGGAGAACACCAAAATTAGACTAAGCAGAAGGCAGCCCAACGGCTACGGTTTGGGTGTTGTTCTTCATCATCCTCGGCGATGTCGCCCCTGTCCTGTGACTAGTGCTAAGTTCAAGTTCAAGTTCAGGGTATCCCCGTCTCTCGCCCCAGACCTCGGTCTACGGCAGCACTGAGGGATGGTAAAGGTGTCTACTCCTTCGAGTAGAGAGGCCTGGCCGACTTTATCCGCCCAGCACAGGGGAAAAATGAGAAGAGGAAGTATTTGGTCCTTGTTGTTGTTAACTACGGAGATCCCTGAGGCTTAGCGCCTTTCATCTGATGTTAATTGCTAATCTGCATGTGACAGAACTGAATAAGTGAAAGGAAAGGAAATGAACTGGAAGCTGCGGTCTCCTTCATTCAAGGACCGATCGCTGCCACTGAAGGACAACGTACATCTGACCGCGAGCTCATGTCATTCAATCACCTGTATTTTGGTCCTTGTTGTTGTTAACTACGGAGATCCCTGAGGTTGATAGAAGTTATGACTAAGCACGGCCACGATATCGCAGAGACGTCATCCCAGACTGAGACAGGGATACCATATGCCTGTGGTATAAAAAACAAAAGAACTTCGATGAAGATGAGGCTAGCACTTGAACACCTTCAACTCATGTCTTAAGAGGAGCGATCACTATAAACCCGATAAGAGTGTGCATCTATTATGTTCATCTTCCTACGTTATACTACAGAATGCGCAGTAAGTAGATATGTCTCGACTATAACCATGACTATGCTGCTCCTCCCGAGACGAAGCAACGAAAAGGGACTACTTGGGGCATCCAATAGAAACATATACAGCTAAACTTTTTTGCCCATTTCTGTTTCTCAATCTAATCGAAGTCTCCAGATGTATCCCAAAGACTCAGGCAACTCATCAGGACACTGGTACACGTAGTCATATCTTCAGTAAATGAGGTCATGCGTTCGCTTCGTGTTGTAATCCTTACTCGATCTCAACTTACTAAATGAGATGAAATACAAGTACTAATACTTAATTAGAAAGAAAATGCAAATGGGAAGACGTTCAAACAAGATCTGGTCCTAAGAGTTGTTGTGCATAGCCATTTACCAACTCCTCGGTAAGGTGACCGCATGCGAACTCATTAAACGGTGGCTGGCCGCTAGCGCTTACGTCAGGCGATAGCGTAAAGATGGAACCAAGCAGCGTTTCTGCGCAGAACTTCTTGCTCGCTCCTACCAGCTCCTGTAGGGTCGGCTTCGCCGGAGGTGTCGACGAGGGTTCGTCGTGCGCTCTCACCTGCTCTTTCGATTCGTAGAGCAAAATCGATGTAGTTCCGCCGTTCGCTGCTCGTCGTATTAGAATGGTGAAACTGGGAATCAGACTTAGTACGAATCATTATTCATGTACAAACACTGAAAAAATATTCTTCCAAAACAATCATTAACCTTGGACGCAAACTATCTTTCGCTTGCGTGTCCACGTTCCTCAATGCCACTAGCACTTCCTTGCAACGAAAGCGTGGAGCATCGCTGAAGGCTTTCCGCGTCGTCGTCAAAAAATTACGCATGGCGTCTCTAATGTCCGTCTCATCCGCTTCTCTGAGCTCGTTAAAGTGCCCGCCATCGTGGATTGCAACCAATCCCGGCCAAGATGAGTAGTGGAGGAAGGCCACAGCACACCCGCCGAGGCCGCAAGCGTGTCATGTACAAAGTCGTTGCAGCTCATTGTCATCGCAGTAGCGTCGTTAGCGGTAGACCCAGTTGTCATATGCGAATGGTCCCCTTTGCTGCACAGATTCACGGTCCCTAGATTCGAGAAATGGTCGGGTCTCTGATTCTGTAGCAATGTCTGATCTGATTCCTGCAGTTGTACAACGGGACGCAAATTCTGTTCAATCGGATGCTTTCTCAGCATTGCGTTAGAGCTAGCGTAGCTACGTCCCCCATATTAGTACTTTAGGGTGAGCAACTTTTCTGAAATTCTTAAAAGCCTTCCTTAAGTCGTGCCTTCGTTAAGGGAATGGATTTCTTGAAAAAATTTCTATTGCAAAAAGTTACTTCTATAATAGATTTTGATTTTCCTTAAGGAACAAAACTGCTCCTTAAGGAGGCTCCTCAAGGAACAGCTGTGGCAAACTTTGGCTCGCTTAAGGCATCTACAGCGATTCAAAAGTGGGGAAATTTTTAACGCGTGTCACGCAAGGAAGATCCGAGGTTTTTTCCACTGATCTAGCCTGTCGCTCTTCCTATGAGTTCCAAAGAGTGAATCACTCGCCATGCATGACGAAGAACCTCCTTCCAGCAATAAGAAGCGCCGCCATTTTTTTCAAAGACCTACGACGTCTGCCTCCCTATAAAATACAACACAAGACCAGCCAGCAAGATGAAGAACGCCGCTCAACCAGTTCCCTTTCCCGCCAACATGAAGGAGTGGAGATACATCGCAGCCTTTGTGAATCGGAGCTGGTGATTTGAGCTCTGTTCCGCTTTTTGGAATCCAAAATGTAAGATAGGCCCAAATATATCTAAATTTTCTAAATCTGAAAAGTCTTTAGATCCTAAGTGAAGTTTCGCCGGTGCCTAAAGAAGGTATAATCTTTAGAGTTTTAGATTTGCAAGACAGTTCTTTTCGAAAAAATCTAAATAAATAGAGTCACAAGTTATGGTCGTAACTTGGGTCCACGTGTCGGAAATTGTGGTAAACCAACGCCTGTTCCTACTCCGGTGGCCCTGGTGGCCTGTCTTGGCCTGACGGTTCTGGCCGAGGTAGACAGCATGCGTGTCCCCATGTAATATGGAGAAACATGGCGCAGAGGTAGCACCTTGCCCTTGCGGCTCGGTGTCGAGTATGTCGAACATGGCAAGGCAGGAAGCACCATGATGATGGTCTGTTGTCATTTCCAAGTGACAGGAAGTGCGCGGTTCTTTTTGTCATATACAAGAACGAATTACTTACATGTTATTCAAGTTGAGTGTAACAAACATGTGAAGAAAGAACGAAGACGCATGGATGGTCGGCGGACAAAAACCGTGCCGACTTTTGAGGAAAAAAGCTGATCTTCACAAGGCGGTCAAGAACAGGTCGAGATCTTCATTGCAGATGAGTATATCGATCCACAATTCTCTGCGTTAGCTTGAGGAGCCACCTACGAGTTGCATGATCTTAGAAGCAAGGATCTGAATCCACCGTGCCCAAGAAAATCTGGATTAGAAATGAATCAAGACCCCGGGTCCATCATGTCGTCCTCCTTCAATGACATTCCGTCGGTGGAATACCACCTGAAGAAACTGATAGACCGCGTTCGGTTGCACAGCAGCTTTTGTGAAAAGATCAGCGTCGGAAACCGATTATTATTATTATTATTATCGCGCGCGCGACCCGATCGTCTCGCACGTGTTACGCCCTCGAGCGATCTTACCATCCGTCACTAAGGACACCGATGTAAGGGCACAAATCATCAATAATAACGAAGTACAGCGGGAAATTTCCACGGGCTTTACCTCTGTTGAGATGTCGCCTCAAAGAGAAGCTGCAACAGCAGTTGCACAACCTGCAAATGCAGCGTTTTGAGGGAGACGGCAACATCAGTTGCTCTTCTTCCGTTCCGTGTTGCTCCGGATTCAAAATATTATCTCAAAAAAAATTCGTCAGAAGCACGCTCGTTCAGCGGTCTGGAACTACAACTACTAACTTGTGCTTTCTCGAATCCTGAGAATAACCATATTTCATCTGCTTCTACTCTCCACGACGAAGAAGTTGGGAGGATCCGCAAAAGTGGCCATTTACGAAGAAGCAAGAGCCCAGCTACAAAAAGAGCCACGATTAAGGTTAATTTCTCCTACACATCACTAGGGCACTAACTATGTTGGCATCGCTACGGTTATCAGATTTTAGACTTCATGGGGCTGATTTTTCCCTTCTTGTTTTCGGTATCTCTTCGCACTTCATATAACTCCACTCTCACTCCACCTCGGTCAGCCTTTGATGAAATAATTCTTCTATCTTATGTAGCGAAACAAATGAAATAAATATATAACTTAAGGGTGAACACACGAAAAAAGGATAGCAACAGGATCTAGAACAACAGCATGCATGCTGAAACGAGCTCCTACCTCTAGCTTTTTGAGCCCATTATACTGTACTTAGCTCGCTCACGAATGTCACTCACTTGCAAAAGTTTCACTGCTATACTAGGCTACCTTACGAGCAGAACTTGATCTACTGTAAAAAAAGTACTCATGAATATTGTTATTGACCTATCCAAGCATTTATTTAGATTTTTGATAGCAGTCATAGACGACCATTCGCGTGCACTATAACTGAGAAAAAGACGTTGGGCTTCATTATTCGGATTCAAGGATGCAAAATAAAAAATAAAAATAGATTCTTACTATCTAGCACGATCACGATTCTCAAAATTAGGATTGTAGCTTGCACACAAAACGCAGCAGATGATTTGCCTGCTAAACCTTTTTGCTTGTGCAGTATAGGAAAATTGACCTAGCGTATGTGAAAATCAGTGCGAAACAATAATCGAATGCTGTAATGCAACTACCAATAGCCACTAATTTCGGAGAAGTTAGATGAGGAGTTTTAACTCAACACCCTGCATGTCTTGGATAGCTTCAGCTTTTTTCTAGATGCTAACTTACGACTCATATCCATTAGGCACCTTAAATAATGCCTTTTTGAGCATGATCTTCGTGCGCCAGCCCTGCTATTTGATGAAAATCGATATTGGTTCTGCTTACCCCTATGGATTTTGTTACTAGCCCTTCACTACATACATCGTCATAGATACTAAAAATGATCGTGATAAATTAAAGCATTCGTTTTTTAACCTGGGTTCCATCACCATCCTTGATAACCACCTGATCCCGGGTGGACCATCTGACGGTACCTATATATTTATAATGGTACCTCTAAGACGTAGAATACTTCTACGGACTTGCCAGTTCCTCGACTACGACTTCGAGACCTTCTTCATCCGGGTACTCCGCAAGCTGCAGTGGTAAAACTACAATATTTCGCTCAATGCCAGGATCTACCCATCGCTCTTGCCCACCAGTGGTGCGGATCAGCAGTCTGGGACCTCGCTGCGAATGTTCCCTCCCTGGCAAGTCGTCGCTGTTTCTTAGAAATGATAGAGCTTGAGCTAGCATGAGTGGGCGCATTTGATAAAAGCATCCCTGTGTGGTGCTTTTTCGAGGACTTACAATAAACGAATTAAATATGATGAGCGAAGATTAATTATGACAAAAATTATCTATCACAATCGGATTCTGCTTTTACGAGGATAGCCTTAAAGATGGGAGGTCGAGGTTCTGCCCGGTCTCGTTCATACCCACATCATTGGAAGTGCGGTCGGCAAGTTCGTCGGCGTCTATTAGAGAGGAAGAAACTGCTGCGTAGACGTGACGCCAAGAATATCTAGACATCTTCTCGATGCATGCATACCCACATTTACTTATGTTCCTTTTTCTGTCATAATTGACAGCCGTAGGGACCAAGTCTGAAAGTGCAACCTCTAGACTGATACCTAGACCATCAACAGGATTTCTATCTTCTACAAGAACAAACTGTTGTAGGGAGAGTACTCGACTTTGGACTGTGGGTGCCTTTTTATGCCGGCATGATTTCAGGATCAAGTGATTACGTGTATGTGGAAGGCCTTAAATCGAGCGACGCAGCGTCATCGTCTTCCTGCTGCAGCTTAGTGGTTAGCTATCACCATCTTCTGATGTGAATGATGCTTAGCTGTCGCCATTACCGAATCAATACTCAAATCAAGCCAACTACTGTGAAATAGTTTCCGTGCTGGGTAGTTCGCTATGAAATAGTTTCCCTGAAGACTACACTGCTTTTTTCGCTATTATTGGACTGAATTCCTTCCTAATCCTAGTCGTGTAGAAAATAATGAATCTAGAAAATATTGAATGAGTAACCTCAAGAATAGAAGCATGATTAGCAGCATTATTAAAGACGGCCCCACCACCTGGCAAAACAGAAAAAGATGACGAGCTGTCTTAACTGGCGCTCCCAAGGAGGACGCACTTAATTTCGTCACGAAGCGTTTCGATGGGCTTGACTCTGTGTTAGAGAGAGAGGTGGAGGCCCTATAAACATCTACTTTCGAGGAAGAGTTTTGTTACATCTTCTTCTTGCAAGTAGTCTTCTTACATCGATTTTGTGACTCCCCTTGTGTTCTTGCATGCCGCTGTGTGTCTTCTCCTGATAACCTAGCCTGACATGATTCTTCACATCTTCATAATCTTGTCACCTCCATCGGCCAACCTCTCCGCTAGACGGTCCGCCTGTCTGGTCCTCAGACTTGCTTGTAGGGCTTCAGACATTGCGGGAGGCCTTTGTCGTAACTCTGCCACGGCACGATCAGCAGCTCGTGACCACCGCACACTGGCTGTCCTGTGGTCTATCTGTACTATTTTTCCAACCTCCTTGGTGGCCCTTGCTGTCAGGCGGGATGTAGATGTACTAGACAAATTTTTCTTAGAAGATGCTGAAAAAATAACGTCCGTAATTGGAAACTCCGATGCCGATCTATTGATTTTGGGCGATGACAGTCCACCCCCAACAACAGTGGCACTGATCTCCGGTAAGCTGCTGTAATGCATTAGAGGAGGGAGGACGAAGTGTCAATTATCGTAGTCCGTCATTCAATGCAATCGAGAAACAGCGTGCAAGAAGAAGATATAAACTCGATAAGTGACAGTCCTCGCTATAAAATAAGGTGAAGGGCCATACGCGCTTTGGCGAGGCTGCGAAGGGAATTCTAGGGTAAACTGACATTGTGAAGCTATGAGTTTTTCCCTCACTGTCTTCCTCTTCCTAACGAGAATATTACATTGCATACTAGTTTTTACAGGTCCAAGTACATACTCTGGCTGTTGAAAACACTTCGCGTCCTCATCAGGAGTCCGAGTCGTAACGAGAAAGTATAAACGACGACCTGCTCGTGTTCTGTGAAAATTCGTCGTGCCAAATGGTACTCCCTTACTGAAAACTGCTCTTCTTTTCGCTTCCTGCGACTGCTCGATTGTAGTTCTGCCCTACTACCATTAGCGCTTTCTATTCTTTTATTCCGAGAGAAGGATTATGGTCGTGTTCGTGACGATGTGCACCCAAATCAATTTTTTGCATGTGAGAAATGGAAGTCACCCAGTTTGAAGATATTGAACGAACTATATGCAAATCATAATCTTTGAAGGAGATGAAGCTGCTATATCCTCTCGGTCCGCTGGAGCTATGGTTTCGAGTAAGTAGCCGTGTAGTTTGCCTCCGCAGCGTTGTGCAACTCGACAGGGACCAAACCACCGCTTTCCGTGATAGAACTCTGCTATGTCTCCTGCCCTCAAGGGCGCCGCCAGGTGCGAAAGTGGTACGTTTCTCCTCTCTGTTTTGCCCCGGAGCGCGAGTGTGGCGCTGCAGGTTGGCGGGCTTTAGAACAGAACAAGTAGATAAGTTTCTTGAATTTGAAGGTTATTTCTATTGAGAAGATGAAGCAGCTAAAGCTATAGCTAAAATAAGATCATCATCATCATCATCATTCTAGGCTTGATGGACTCCTCGCACTCGAAGACTATTACTCGGAGCTTCCTCCCGCTTTTCTGAGTCAGCAGAAAAAAGCATAAAAGTCGAACCCTGTGATGGTCGCGGGGATGTAGGCTCCATGCGTCGACGACCAATAATCGACACGGCTGCTTTCCCTAAAGCAAAATGGTGGCTTCTCCATAAGCGACGATGAAGACGTTGCTGTGCCTGTTGCTAAATCAGTTTGATATGCATTAGAGCTGCCCTCAGTTCACTTCGATGGGGATCCCTCAACTCGGAGCTATCTCTCACATCTAGATGATGATGAGCAGGGACCCCTATTATACACAGTTTCAGTTACTTAGGGTTGAATTAATTAAAGGTAGCCATAAATGGAACAAGCTCCAGCTGTTCTCTCAACTCTATTTGTGATACATCTACACCAGTGGTTTCCGCATGTTCTTTTGAGGATTTGACAGTCCGCTCTCTGGTTGGAGATAGGTCTCTTCTTCTGCTTTCTGCGAGAACTTGTTCTGATGATTGTGTTCTGATGACTTTATTTACTCCGACTCCGTTGTCGGGCGTTGATCCAAGATTATCTGATGTTCTTGGTGCTGGTACCTTTGTTTTACTAGAAGTCGAAGTAGTAGGTCTTCCAATTATGCCGATACCAGCAACAATATTTTCGTTCTCTCCCTTCAAGAATTAGAGCTCTCCCCTATTCATCCCTGTGGGAATCCCTCAAGCATATGCGTCAGTATCTCCCTTGTATTGGGGCGCATATGTTTGAGGGATGCCGACAGGGATGGATTAGGAAAAGCCTTAAAATAAGGTTTTTCGCACAATCTCGTCTGCTCCGAGTTCATCATTGCCATCCTCTTGGGGTGGACCATCGTTTTCAAGAACAGGCGACTTGGTTCTTAGAGCTCCTGCTGGGTAGGGATTGTCAAATTCCGAGAACTCTATTTGTTTCATGATGTAGACTTCTTCTAGGTCCTTTTTGAATGTCAAATAGGTGGTCACGCACATGCCCACTCTCGACATCAATTTCTCTCCTTGAAATCCATTGCCATAATCCTTTCCTTCCCGCAAAGATCTTACCATCCTCTTGTTTCCCGCCAGACTCTTCTATTTTTGCCGGTGAATCGCGGCTACCGGAAGACTGCAATTTAGAAAGTTTTTGAGTAGAGGTTTTGCTGTATTTTCTGGTGATCTTCCTGATTGTTGGAGTCGTGCCGTGAGAGCTGCCAGAGAGTACTATGATAATCGATCAATCAAATGAAGTGTCTTGTTTTTTTCTTATTCTTGCCAATAAAGATAAACTACTAAAGCTTGTTACCATACTTACTCTTTCACTTTCATTTTTAATCTTAGACTTTCATAATCACCTTGTTTACAACAGCCGAATCCTTCAACAGTGTGCTTCCTTCTGCTATGCTACCCATCTGAAAATTTTCTCCGAGGTCCCATATCACCTTTTCTTTGCCTGTCCGCTTGTCGTAACCAAGGGTCCATGTCACGGGAATGTTAGAGCTTTGTGCGAGATGAGGGAGATAAAAACGCAACTCTTTTTTTTATGGAGCGAGTTACACTTCAAGAATTTTTTAGACCTTAAAAGTGAGGCCCTTCAAAAGACTTGATTCTTCTGACCCAGGCTTCTTGGCTGACGGGGACGTATTGGCGAATGTTCCTCCTCCGCTGGGCGGATTTTTAGAGAGGAGGAAACGGAAAAAACGGAAAGGGGCTTCGCCGTCTGTTTTGCCCCAAATGAAAAACATCTTGATGACAAACCCTTTTGACTCCTCTTTTTTATCGATAATGCCCTGAAAAATGGTACGAATATGAAATCATTCACAACTACAAAGACATCATGAACGTCGTAATTTCAATTTGTTCTCCAATAATATCTTCTTGAAAGCCGAGGGTTTTCTTCCCTCCCCTCGGTTTTCTGCAACCTCGGATCATGTAAATCAGAACTACCAATGCTGTGACAAGAATAATGCCAGCTATCGACGCCTCCTGCCAGGCACACCCGAACTGCTGGCCTATCGGACACGTAATCAAGAAAGGACAACCAGCCCACTCTTCACAACTCTGATTAGATTGAAATCATCGAGCATCCATTTTAGAAGTTATAGACACTCACTTCGTTCTATTCCAATTTGTTCTACTGAAGCACCAGCACTTGTGCGTAGTCGTAGTCAAGAGTGCAAAGCAACTTACATTATGTGATGCAGCGTCTTGTTTTGAAGCAGTAGAGCCTGGTAGGTTATAGTTTCCTTTGACATGTGAAAGCCTTAATCTGAGACAGCACATGCGTGGCGCCAGCAGGACAACTCGAATCATATGCTCCCGCTCCAATATGACAATAGTAGTCGCGATTCTGTATGCCGCTACCGCACTGGTTGCTACAAGGCGTCCAAGCGTAGTAAGCCCAGCGATTTACTTCAGCCAAAACGGTTCTCGTTAGACTACATCTCAAATAATCTTTGGCGATGGCGTCTATTTTGCTATCATGTACACACGACTTACTCCTAGTTCTACCTAGCGAATGAATAACCATCTTCACGGAAGATGACGTATAATTTGAGGACTTCTCTTCACATCTAATAGCACGAGGCGCCTTAATGTCACTTGAGCTTGGGTGCTCACTGCAGACGTGATCACTGACTCGGGGACGTCGAATACGTCAGAAAAAGAACTAGCAAACGCGGCTCCGAACAAAGACATGCCACTTGTGCTGTTTGACGAAGTTCTTAGAGAAGGTTGTAACTTTCAAACGAGCAGGAGTACTATCCTCTTGTTCTCGTCTAACTAATCGGAAATGTAATGAACAATCAGTCTCAAGATGGACACACGACGACAAGGACAGTTCCAGATGGCGATGTCCACACTAGGGTCAATTATATTAACAACATGTCCACCACATTAGATTCAATTATAACAACAGCAGCTGCTAAAAAATGGGCTTAGGAACAAACAGAAGGAGCCCTATATTCGATCCATTAACTGGCGCCGCTCCAGGCCCACTAATCGCATTCGAGACCTCACTGGCCTTTGCGACAGCATCCGTGCCTTTTAGTTTTACTTCGAAGTCGAATTCTAACGAAGTGCTAGCAGATAGATGACGTTCTGGGGATGTTGATAGAGTTAGAGGTGGTGCCAACTCGTTTTGCTGTACTATGCTTTCTCGAGGAACTGCTGCATCTTCTCGTAGTCTGTCTTGTTTTTGTACTCTGACTGTGTCCTCTATGACCTCCGTACTCGTTACGGTTCTACTTCTATTTCTGTTGCTGGAGGAGAGGTTTCTCCTTCTCCTTCTGCGTCCGTAGTACCCCACAGTGACTACAATGTCGCCATTCATTGTGAAGCTGTTGATTAGCAGCGAATCTGTTCCGCTAATCGCACTATCCAGCGAGTTCCTCAGAACTAGGGCAATGCTGTCGATATTCGATACAACTTGAGTTGCTTTCGTTTTCTCAGCAGGAGTGACCACTCGCGGGGCCGTGATACGTTCTTCTACTGATTCTTCTGTCACCACTGGTGGAGGCGCAAGTGTTCTGTCGTCTGAGCCTGGTATCACCTTAGGCGCGTTGGTCGACGCAACCCCTGAAGATGTTTCGCCATTCACATCGCTCTGTTCCACATTCGATGCATCTTCACCTCCAGCACCAGAGGCTGCCCCACCTTCCTCGCTAGAAGAGCCAAATGATGAGCCTAATCGTGCGAAAAAATCATCGCCAAGAGAAAACTGGACTTTGCATTTCACCACCTTGATTTCCTCCACTTCTGCAGTCGCACTGGTGACGCACGTTGGGAAGACAATGATTAGAGTCCGCAGAAGTTCTAGTCCTCGCTTTTTTTAGCTCGTCCTCTGGTTCCTCACAAGTCAAGGATGTGAAGAGTAGCTGCAATTTTATGAATCTTCTATGCTCCATGTATAAATATGTAATGTTCCAATTATGAATCATGATCATCAATTTCAGGAGACCCCCTAATGGTAATGGTCAAATTATGAATCATCAATAGACCACACTGTCTTCCCCGTAGGCTGAATCATCAATAGACCACACTGTCTTAGGTTGAATTGCGAAGTGTCCACGAATTCTCCTGTTTGCTGGGCGACCGCAGGAATCCGCGTTCGGCGATAGACATTTAAGTCCGCCACACTCAAAAAATTTCCGTCCACACAAGCTCGGTTGACTGAAAGGACCTGGATTGGTGGCAGTGCTTCCTCTAGATTCAAAGAGCTGCAAGATGAAAGGATGAACAAGTGTAGCGTGGTGAGAATTCAAATCTATCTCACGCAGGCCATCTTGGGGGTCGTGTGTGGTCTGAATAAATTAATATTTTGTTTAAACTAGCGGAGCAGATCTTCACGGACTCAATCGTATTTGGGGATAATTTTCCGCCCATCATGTCTCATAACGTGGTCACTGCTGGTGCATTTCTGTCGATTTCGAACGTTCCATATTCTGAGCCTTGCCGAACAACTGCTTCTTCTGCAGACGAAACGCGCATGAAGGCCCCCTGCCGACACGTCACTTCGCAAGTTTGCCCACTAATAGCTACTATACTTGGGACTGTCGTGCTGGCTGCGCCAGGAACTTAGATAGGGGTCATCATATTTATTTGTTGCGTGTATGATATCCTGAAGAGCAGATCCTCATCCACTCCCAGTGCTATCATGAGAACTAATGAAGACAACTCTTTCTACCTTACTAGGCTCCTTAACCATAACTTTCACCAGTTGCAGAGCCTTTTCCACCTGCACAGTTTACGGATTCGATATTTGCTTTGTCCTCCGGCGTAAAGCTACATCCATTACTTAAAGCTTACCCGAATCTATCCTGAGAAGCATCTTGCTCCCCTTTCTTTCTTGAAAAGTAAGCCTTTCCAGGAAGCTTCACAGGATGCGTTAGGGCAAGCCCTAAATTGCCGGCTGGACAAAAAGCTTGAGAATCCAAGTCTACAGGTTCGCCGATTACATTGCCATTGGCACAGAAGACTTGGATTAGCCAGTCCGACGGAGTGTAGGTCGGGAACTTGCATCCTATGACCATGGCTGAAGTAAGAGCTCCGCGGACTGGGTCACCAGATGGTTGGGCATTGGGCGAAGCAGCGACATCGGAAGCAGAAAAGACCGCTGGAAAACTTGGACCTGCTTCTTGATAGAAGATTTGGGATATATCTGTGACAAAATCTTGTGCGCCACCAGTGGTACTAGAAGCATCTAAGCTCGTTGCTTTGCGTTTAGGTTCAACCGTAGAAAAGCTTTCCTCGTCCATCCAAGAGCCAGCGCCTATCGTTGTATCATCAAATCCAAGATTCAACAACGCGCCAGCAGTGTTTTTCATTTCGCTCGCTGACCATCGGTACAGTACTTCGACATTTGCAGGTAAAGTCGTCGCGACCCACTCATCCATATTGCACGATGTGCCTCCACAACCGCTGCCTTGGAAAGTGATGGCCGTAGGGCCTCCGCTAACCGCAGAAATAGCTGTTGGCTGTGGTCGCTCACTCAGAGGTAAACAACGAAATTGATTATCGTTGTAGGAAGAAGCCGAACTACTTGCTGTGCTTAATGAGGTACGTCTCACTCTGGAAGAAGATGCAGACGAAGAGGGAGTGTTGGATCCTTCATTGGTACAGCGCGCACTGCATGTGCGTCCGGCGAGGATGTTTAGGTGGTGGCCTTGACGACGGAGACAGGACTCTAATGTGTCATCTCCAAGTTGTAGACCATAGGCAAGAGGTGGAAGGGGTATTATAGGATATGTATCACGCGGCATCGGTACAACGTTGTCGTGCGCATACAACAAGCTCAAGATTGTCGAACTTTGGGAAAGCAGAGGCCCACTCGTTATCATCTGTCCTTCTGGGAGCGTGCTTGAAGATACGCTTGCAAAAGATGAAGTCGTGGGCGTGCCAACATCTGCCGAGCTCACCTGCTCTTCGCGGCCTGATTCATCTAGAACCGTTGACGGTGCAGACGCCGAGCTGCTCTGATCATGAAGCCCAGGCACGCTTACTGCTGCACATCCAGGCAGAATGTATTGCACGGCAAAATGGGTACTCAAAGCATTCATTGCCATTGCAGGACTCACTTCCGGAGGAAAGAAATCCCTGTTCGCGCGCCGTAAGACGTCGCGTGGAGTTACGACGTTCAAGCGATCATAGCCAGGAAAACGGTTGCTGCTCACAATGTGATCACGTATGGCAGCCACGATGGAGGGATTAGATGGGTATGGGGATGAACAGGAAGTAACGGAAGATGGGCAGCCACGATGGAGGGATTAGATGGGTATGTGGCACAAGCAACTTTGTCCGACCACGCTGGTTCTCAGAAGGGAAACAATGCGACCTTTTTTAGCTACCTACGTGGTACTTTGTGTCAGCCTTAACCGTCTCCACTCCTACCAAGTGAGTTAAGATCGCTTCTGCATCGTTGGCTTCCCCCTGCCCGTACCGATCTTGTAGATATGCACGCAGATCAAATGCCTCCGATTGGACCGGTGGCGCATTTGTAGTTGTAGCAGACGGCGCAGTCGTCGCAGTTGTCTGAGGAATTGAGGTAGTCGGTCCAGACGGCGCAGAAGTTTAGAGGTATGAGGGATTCATCTCAGGGATCATCTGGGTCCCTTTTTCCTCTTCTTGTCAGTCTTTTTCTTCCAGATGACTTTGGGGATGAATTCCCTACACCCATAATAAGTGGTCTGTGCACTAGGTGCAGCTGTCGTGCTAGATGAATCTGTCATCAACCGCCTACGAGAGGAAACTGTGGTGCTGCTGGTATATGTGGCAGAACCAGGTGGCATGCTTGTAGAGGACGACATGGGTATGTTGGGGTCGTAGGTTGATGACGACATTGTTATGTTGGGGTCGTATGTTGAAGTTGATGACGAGGGCATGGGCATGTTTATGAAAAAAAAAGTGTGCTCATACTCAGAAAATTAGCTGCTTTCGTCCTACTTAAATCCTAGCTAATTTCTTGTGAATATGAGTACACTTTTTCCTGTCATAATGTTGGAGTCGTAGGAGCTCGTGGAGGAGTATGGATCTGGTGTTGAGGATGAATGATAGGGCACTGAAGTTGAGGACAGTCCAACTCCTGCTCCTAAGGTTCCACCATCCTTAGAATAACACGTTTCGATTTGCACTTGTCCGTAGTGGACGCAGGAAAAGGGACACAGTGTGGGCCCGATCAGCACCGGTGGCTCGTCGATACGGTCCGAGAAAAGGCCTGCGCGAAATGCGGCACCACACAAATTTTGGCTCACGAGGCAACTGCAGACCTCACCTGGAGCGGCTGTTCGATCTAGTTTGGCCCTCGTCTGCTCAGGACACACGTCTGCAACTTCATCAAGGTGACTAGCCAACTCCTCATTGTCTCGACAGGCACGGCAACCAGCTGGGCCAGCATAATAACCGCGAAACTGTGCCCGCGCGAGGACCTCTGGAGGGTACCATACGCCAAATGCGCTGAGTGGCGTCGTGGTCGTGCTGCTTGTGCTCGTCGTTGTCGGTATTGTTAGCGGTAGTCGTTTCTATTCTTACTGATCTCCACTGATATAGTGTTTTCAGTCACAATCCCCTGAGGTCATCTCTCCTCGTACACGGTCAAATTACGTGTCTGAACATGTGATGAAAGTCTTTTTTAAGGAGTCTTAACATGGGTGTCGTGGCCAGTTCTACGGCGACAGCTGTGGCCGCAGCTGGGGCGCCTGGGCACGAAAAAGATGTGTCCATGTAGGTCGATAGCGCAGCAGCCAGCGGGTGTGCGTCAGTGTTAACGGCAGCGAGAACGGCATCCTTCGAGGTGGTGTCATTGCACAAAACAGTGGCAGCATCTTCCACCGCAGACGCTTTTGGCGTATAGCCATCAGCCTCGCAACCCGGATTTCCGGTAAGCCAGTCATCGGAGGCAACACTGGAAGCGGCACCGCCCCAAACCCAGCAATCCGTGATACCCACTTCGGCTCGCTCAGTTGCGGTCTTGCTGGCCATGGCTTTGGCCGCCAGAATGTTCGTGGCCATGCATGCCTTGTTCGCGAAACCAGCGAGCTTGAATGTACCTTCGATTCATTCAATTATTACTTACACTTTTTCCACAAGGAGGAAATTCCAGTTTTTTTTTTGAAATTGAATGTTTTCATTTATAATTCTTCATCTATTTCCGAATTCGAAACTATGACAATATGAGCGAACATGTGCAGCAAGTCGTTTGAAAACAAATTAGTTGCCATGACGTCTCCACCAGCAGACCAGCGATTCAAAAAATTGAAGTACCCATAATGCAGGTAGTAGGAACAGCGTCAAAAACAGCGCAAGCCGGAACAAAGTTCGCCCCAAAGCTGAGGGTTGGACCACCAGCGCTGTTATATGCAGTTCGGATGCAAGAGGCACCAAACATACACAGATCGTCCAAGGCAGCATTGGAAGCACCCTCTGTGGGAAGAACGCCGTGAGCCCAATAGGGCATGGTCATGTTGGTGCTGGGGATGCCAGCGGCCGTTCAAATTAGGGCTGTCCAGTTTTTCAGTTTTCAATCGGAGTAGGTACCTTCCGAGATGCAGCACTGAAAAATGCACTATCTTCAGGAGCCTTAACTTGAAATACGGCGCGCTACCGGACATGGTCGTAGTGGCACCGTTCGCCATATCAACGCAGCCACCCTTCGAACGGCAAACCAGAGTTATGCTTGGGTCTTGACCAGGAACGTCGTACCTATCAAAGTGAAAAAGATTAGGAAGAACAAGAATTATGTTTGTGATTACTGATACTGTTACTGCCATAAATATACTTGGAATAACTTCAAAGCCAAAGAGTGTAAGGCATTGATTTAACGATCTTGTTGGGAATGTTGTGAAGCTTTCAGCTCTCTGCTGTTCCTAAGTGTTGTTTTTGAACTAAACTTGAAATAAAATATCAATATTGATGCGCAGGTCCGTGTCCAAAAGCGTTTTTAGAATCAACAACTACGCAGTTGAGCACTATGCATTCAAGTACACCCCCATCCCAAAAAACGCAACGGTGTGCCGATCGAGACTAGATTGGCAACATGTGCCCATGCCGAGGTTTTGCGTCAATCCGCTCGTGCCCCAGTGCGATTGATCGGTGCGCAAGACCTTTTCGAAGCCATCGTTTGGTGGAATGGGACTCTTCCAGGTACACAAACCGCAATAGTCGTCATTAAACATTGTGTCGGATGTTGTGCCCAGCTTGTGGCTGATTAGGCCGGCCAAAGCATTTCCACTGTTAGTAACCAATGCTGCTCGGAGATCCGCTAGACAACTACCTCCACAAATAACGCTTCGCTGCGACGCAACAACATCCATCTTCGGCGCCAAATTCTAGTGTGTTGTAGGATAAGAAGGCGTCAGAGCTAGTATTTTTCAAGTTTTAGTCATTTACTGATGGCGCGTTTCCTATAGACTTGATGATGCTCCTCCTCCTGAACCTGATTCCATTTTTCTGTGTATTTCTTTTTACACTGGTCCGAAAGAAATAGTACTAGTTGCACAAGTACGATTATGATGACTAGCGTATGTGAAAGAATGAGACATCAAGTTGTAGTACGTTTAGTTCTGACTGCTTAGAGGTAAATGATAATGATGAAACTGAGGTAGTAGTAATAAAAGTGAATCTAGAACAAGACGAAGTACAGCGAGAGCTCCAGTGGTAATGCATGCACCAGAGACGAGGCATGTCGAGATTCCGTAAGTGCTAGAGAACTCTGCCCCAGTCTTTCCTGACTGAGTTAAAACGTCGTGTGCTAGGACTTTGGCTGCGTCACAACAGGTCGCCGCGATACTTCCCTCAAGGCACAAACCAGAGCCAACCTGGCATCCAGGACACGATCCTGCGGACTGCTGGGGCTGGAGTTTTGCTTGTTCTACTGGGTCCATCAAGCAGATGGCCATAACCGATTTGGAGCCTCCGTTTCCACCACATTCCCAAGAATCCGGCAGTGTCTTAGAGCTTACGTTCAATTTCAAAGAAAGTGTGAACTACAAACAAAAAATCACATTCACCATTTTTCTAGACGAGGTAGAGGAATGTTCAAAAACTTATCGCCCTTGTCCTAACGTTGTTGTAAATTACTATACCTCCCATTGTATATGTATGTGAGATGGACGACCTGGTGCTACCTCGATTCATTGTAGAAAAGAACCCCCAAGAGGACTGGAGTCGGAGTGGAACTAAGAACGTAACTAGCAAGAAAACTCCGTAATATTGTTCACCCAGGAAGGCTTGGCAGCTTGCATGGTGTATGGCGTAACACGCGCGTCGCAGCCTCCACCAATGATACGATAATCGGATCCGGAGCATGCTTGAGTAGCCCACTCGTTCGACGAGTGAGACCATTGTGAGCGATAGAGAGGCACGTCAGGTGTTGTACAAAGCGCACGAGCGGTTTTGTATGAAGCAAGGAGATCAGTCTAGGGATAGTCTGTCAATTTCGCTAATGGTTCCCAGCACGTAGTGTTCTATTTTCTATTTCTTCTAGAAGTGGTAGCTACTCCATATCTAGTATCGTAGAGCTTGTTTTCATGTATTATAGATAAAATGTTGCGCTTGCGGCAAAGAACAATTATAAGAATAAGTAGTTGTACTTGTAGTCTTCTTGGTCCATAAATTCGGCACCCCATGGCCGCCACATCGCCACTTGTCAGCAGTATCACTGTCAGGACCTGAGTGTTGAAGCCACCAGGGGCCTGCGTTGGGCTGGCAGCCCCCACCGAGTAGTAATATGAAGGGAGGACATTGTTGTTGAGCATACTCAAAAGTTTCTCGTTGCCAAAATTTTTGATTTTCTTGGTAGTTGTATAATAGCAATGCAGAGTCTCTTAGAACTTCTCCTGTCTACTTAGTATGTAGAACAACACTCTCTCGCCATAGTCTTCGTGTAGTTTCTATACGCTCCTACGCTGGTGTTTGTCGGACAGGATACTGAGCCCCAGTCGGACACGGAGGCTTCGACCATGTGGACAGGAATATCTGGGGAGCAGAAGGCCCACGCCTCTTTGTCAGCGCCACCACCGCCGCACTGCCATCCACCATTCAGGCCATCGGAATCTCCTTTACTTAGACCACTATGAGTTGATGTCCGAGAAGGGTATGTTGGTGACATATTTTTTCAGCTGCGATGCCCAGTTAATTTTTGTCCGGTTTGTGCAGAAGATAACATGAATGAGGAGTGGGCAACATATATGAGAGTGACTATAATTTTTATATTTGTACTTGGCCATAAGTAAGGCCAATGCTGGGAGAGAGAAAAAGGCGTGGTCTTCGCATTGCAGCCACCGCCGATCACAGCATAGTCACTCGGACAGGCTACTGAGACGTAGTCGGCACCAGAGATCGGTCCAACCATCGTGAAATTGTAGATGATATTGTTGTTACTTTCACCACCATGACTCAGGTGACGTCGTCTCTGACGGATTTGCTTTGGTACTTCTGCATTTGCTGTTGTAGACGCAGAACTAGATGATGAAGTTGTTGCAGACGTTATCGTGCTTCCGAAAACAGCATCGTCCTGCGTGATTACCTTACGACTATCAGCATGAAACGTTCCCCCTTCACAGTTTGACCGAGCATGCTTTTCTAGTTCTCTTTGTGCGGCACTGAACGCATTACCCTGTGCCGTCAGACCTTCGCGCATACTCGTGGCCAAGTCTAGGAAACTTCTTCCACTCTGCAACGCTACTCCAGTCGAACTACGGACCTCTTCTGCGTCATACCATGGGCCGAAGGCGAAGAGAGATTAGATGAGAAGTTGAGACTATGATAGTGCAAAAGCAGATGCACTAGAATCACATTGACTAATCACATCCATGCGCACTGAGTCAGAATCATAGCAACTCAGTAACAAATCTGCTGGGAGTGAGTCGACCTTTTGTACTATCCATAAGACAACGACACATGTCTATCTGCGAACCCGGAGCGTCCGGGATCGGTTGCTGAACCCGTTGTAATGCGGAAAGAATCGTCACGGGAAATATTTGGTAGCTGTGTCCACTGCAAAAAAGGCGTTAAAGAGCGATTGGACGCGGTGACCCAAACGTCCGTGTACTCCTCTTCTGGCGGAAAGGTAGTTGAAGTTGAAGATGTTGATGATTGTGAAGCAGATGTAGCTGCACTAGGTTCTGAAGAGGAAGATGTTGAAACCGTTGATGCTTGAAGTTGACGTGAGGGTGTAGAGCTAGAAGATGGTCGCAGGGAAGTGCGTAAAGCATTGTGAAACGATCCGAGCGTGCTTGAGACATCACTTTGGCTGGAAGATGTAGTTGCCATAGAAGCCTCCTTGCCCACGATGAAATTGTCAAAAAAAGTCTGTCTTTGAGACACGGAGTGAAACTCCAGAACTACACTGCCTTTCAGCATGAATACTTCCTCGAGCTGATCTGGCGTCAATATCGTAGAACTTGAGAATGTTGTACTGGAAGTTGAAAACGAGGAGGATGG